GAGGATCCTGCACATGTCTACTCGGAAGTAAGCCGCATTGGGTGCAATGGCGCTCGCTCCCAGGCAAAAGGGGTGCAGAGATGCTGCAAACTTCAATTTTAAATGCATCCTACATAATGATTCTGCGGATTCCCGTTGAACTCAGTGGGATTTGCTTCTTCCGTGCACGTGCCCAGGATCCGGCCTGCAGGGATCCAACCAAATGCGAGTTGATTAAATAAACGATTGGAAAAAAGACATTCTCTCGCCTAAAACCGTCCAAGCAGTTTGCTTGAATTTCCGCCCCTGTCGTTTGCATACCGTGCAATCTAGGTCAGTTTTGGTGCAGGCGAGGAGCTTCACGGGCGACCCTAGAAAAGGAAATTTTGTGTGTGTTTTTTTGAGGGTTCAGAAAAAAGTGCTGCCGTTGCCCCGTGTGAGGCTCGAACTCACGACCTTCAGATTATGAGACTGACGCGCTGCCTACTGCGCTAACGAGGCGCTCGGAGCGGTGCTGCTGCAAAGCTCCATGTGAAACGGGGAAACCCTAGACGTCAGCTGATCTTTCCTGCCCTGTAAGGTGGGGAGGGGGCGGAGACAGTGAGGTTTGCAGCTACTGATCTTTGCAAGCTACAAACAGTAGGGCTCTCTCCCTTCCCAGCCCAACACCCATTCTCTCCCCCACTGGTTTCAGATAAAATAAAATGCAAAACTAAAAGGATGGCCCTGAAATAAACAAATGCATTATGTTGCAAAAGAGCTGCCAATTCCTTGCTGCTCCAAATCGTTGCTTAGCAAAAATAGTTCCAGATCAGGCAGATCTGCAAAGGGATGTTGTTGTTGTTTAGTCGTTTAGTCGTGTCCGACTCTTCGTGACCCCATGGACCAGAGCACGCCAGGCACTCCTGTCTTCCACTGCCTCCTGCAGTTTGGTCAAACTCATGCTGGTAGCTTCGAGAACACTGTCCAACCATCTCGTCCTCTGTCGTCCCCTTCTCCTTGTGCCCTCCATCTTTCCCAACATCAGGGTCTTTTCCAGGGAGTCTTCTCTTCTCATGAGGTGGCCAAAGTATTGGAGCCTCAGGATCTTCAGGATCTGTCCTTCCAGTGAGCACTCAGGGCTGATTTCCTTCAGAATGGATAGGTTTGATCTTCTTGCAGTCCATGGGACTCTCCAGAGTCTCCTCCAGCACCATAATTCAAAAGCATCAATTCTTCGGCGATCAGCCTTCTTTATGGTCCAGCTCTCACTTCCATGCATCACTACTGGGAAAACCATAGCTTTAACAATATGGACCTTTGTTGGCAAGGTGATGTCTCTGCTTGAGTTAAGTACTTAATTCCTTCTGGAGGTCCGTTCTTAACCTGAAACTGTTCTTAACCTGAAGCACCACTTTAGCTAATGGGGCCTCATGCTGCTGCCGCGCCGCCGGAGCACAATTTCTGTTCTCATCCTGAAGCAAAGTTCTTAACTCAAGGTACTATTTCTGGGTTAGCGGAGTCTGTAACCTGAAGCATCTGTAACCTGAAGTGTCTATAACCCAAGGTACCACTGTAATTCAAAAGCATCAATTCTTCAGCGATCAGCCTTCTTTATGGTCCAGCTCTCACTTCCATACATCACTACTGGGAAAACCAGAGCTTTAACCATACGGACCTTTGTCTGCAAGGTGAAGCCAGCATACCTAATGGCTTTGTATCCATGACCAGAAGCTGCTAGGAAGTCCACGAGCCAGGATGTGCTTTTCCTCCCTCCCATTGGAATCCAGAGGTAGACTGCTCCTGAGCGGGAGGCTCCATTGAGCCAAGAATCAGGGACAACCTTCTCTGCCACGGCTTTGCTCTTCGCTCCCCCCCCCTTTTAAAGCCAACTACATACCTTGTGAGAATGAGCGACTTGCACCTTGTGTGGAATATTTCATTTTGCTGGTTCTGAATGCATAGTGGATGGAGCCCAGTTCTTGTAGGAGAGAGAGAGAGAGAGAGAGGATTCCACTATCCAATTATGTCAAATGCTTTCAGAAGATCTCAATGATTTGCATGTCTTTTAGATGTCCTTAATGTTTCAAAAATTAAGGGGGGTGGGTAATTGCATTTTTAAATTTTGTTGTTGTTTAATTTCATTTTTAATTTTTTTGTTCCTTTGGGAAGAAGGACTAGGATAGAAACTACATCAGCAATAATAATCCTGCTTCCCCAGCCCTATTGCAAGCCCCAAAGGCTGCTGGCCATTAATGCAGGAGAGGAACTTTTAAAAAGCTTTTGTAGGATCTGGGGGGGACACTCAGTGCTGGATTTACATATAAGCTAAAAAAGCTATAGCTTAGGGCCCCACTCTCTTGGGTGCCCCCCAAAATTTAAAGGGGGGAAATTGGATGTACATTTCCAAAATATAAGATAAAAAACAAATAAAATAAAACCTACACACAGCAACAGCGTTTTGTGTTGTGTAGGCTCCTATGATTTACGTAATGGGCCCCGCCTGCTATCCTGCTGCCTAAAATATCACTGGTTTGCTCATTTCTATATATAGGGTGCCTACATTCTGCATGTGCAAATAGCTTTAGATACTATGAGTTCCATAAATTACCATATAGCATATATTCAACACAAAAAACAGCACAGACAATTTGTTGATGGCAAAGGACAGCTGGACATATAAAGGGCCCCATTCCCTTCAGTAGCTTAGGGCCTCATCAAACCTAAATCCAATCCTGGTGACTGTAATTGGAAAAGGACCACCCCCAGACCTTCAAGCAGGGGAAGGGGGAATACAGATGTTCCTGAACTCAGAGCCCCATCATTGCTGAATAAAGGGGAAAGATTATGGGTCAGGGTGTGTGTGGAGAGCCTGTTTATAACAGTGCTGAGTTTTTGTTGTTGCTGCTGTTTTACTAACGTTAAAATTGTTTCATAGATTATCAATGCTGTATTGATTAGTTAATATGACATTTGCTTTAATTGTGATGTTTAGCTTCTTTGTTAATTGCTGCTTTGTTAGCAGTGTCTTATAGACTGAAATTGCTTCATTGATGATTTATTAATTATTCTGTATTTATGCTGTATTGATTTTGTACTGAAACTAAGTTAGCATTGTACTGTTCTTGACCATTTCCACACACGCAACTTTTTGTTCTTCTTCAGGACAAAATTCCCTTTTATGTGCAGCTGGGGGGGGGAGCATTTGCTAACAAAGCAGCTTTCTAGTCTCATGTCTTTTTTCCAATAGGTGTGCAACCTTCGAAGCATTTTTATGTATTTATCACAGACAGAGCCTCTAGGCTTTCCTTCAAGAGCTGCATTACAGACAGCAATTGAACAGGCAAAGCATTTCCACCCCTGCCTTTCCATGCTGGGAAAATATTTAGCATTTGAATATTTGCCTTTCAGGCTCCTCTTAGGTGTAGGAAATGGGGGGAGCACACCTAGAAATTCAGATCTACTTACGGCTTTTCATTGCTGAGCAATGCATGATAACACAGCCTGCATGATACAAAAGCATTTTAAAAGACCAAACAAGAAAAGGCCCCAGTAATTTAGGCATATGTCATACATTTTCACATTTCAGCTGGTCTGATACGAGCTGACAGGCCGCTATTTACCCGTCCAGTTAATGATGCCAAATGACTCTCTCCCATGTAATTGCCTTTAGCAGGTTGCCGGCTAATTGCTTTTTTTGTTGTTCCTGGTGCAGCTGCAAGCAGATGTTGAGGGCAAAACTGTGGTTCGTTAATGTCAAGTTAACTAACTGGACCTTAAAGGCTGGTGCATGATTGAAAATGGCAGGGAAAGGATCTTCGTATATTGCTCCTCACATACACTTCTGCGCTGGGACTTTCTGCTCAATGGTTTACAGCAGGCTGTAATAATTAGAATTGCTAAATGCCTTTCCTTTTTAAAACTGGCCTCCTCAAGTTTTGACCCAACAAGCCCAGCACAGCCCACCCCCGTGTTGCTATTAATTACAATAACAATAAACTACTGACATATGTCAAACATAAATGCTCTTCATTAGAGAATAAACACATTTTCCTATAGTTTTATCCCTCCATGTGGTGTAAAGGTAAAGGGACCCCAGACCATTAGGTCCAGTCGTGGCCGACTCTGGGGTTATTGGCCGAGGGAGCCGGTGTACAGCTTCTGGGTCATGTGGCCAGCATGACTAAGCCGCTTCTGGTGAACTAGAGCAGCGCACGGAAATGCCGTTTACCTTCCCACCGGAGTGGTACCTATTTATCTACTTGCACTTTGACGTGCTTTCGAACTGCTAGGTTGGCAGGAGCAGGGACCGAGCAATGGGAGCTCACCCCGTTGCGGGGATTCGAACCGCCGACCTTCTGATCGGCAAGTCCTAGGCTCTGTGGTTTAACCCACAGCGCCACCCGCATCCCTTCCATGTGGTATAACCTTGTTTGAAAAATAAAATCAAACCAGATCCCCTGTAACCAAGCTTTTATGCAGACATGGGTATGTGTGGAATAAACTTGCAACCTTCGGTAATTTAGTCTGGCCATCCCCAAACTGGTGCCCTCCAGATATTTTGGATGATGTTGCTGTTGGATCCCGGGCAATTGGTTATGCTGACTGAGCGAGCTGTTATGGTCCAACACATCTGTTTGGCAAACACTGGACGAATCGAGAAGGCAATGAGTGGTCTTCGAACTTTTGCTTTTCAGGAAACAAGTTTCCACATCTCTTGGTGATTCTCTAGCTGTGAACATCTTGCAAGGGAGATGGACTAAACATGACCTGCACCACATCTCTTTAAATCTGTAGGTGTCTGTCAAGACTGAGCTATTCCAATGTTATTCAGAAATGCTGCTTCTGCTTTCGCCTGAGCTCTGCCTTGCCTTGCCTGACTGAATGACAGGAGAAAAGGAAATCAGTTGATGAAATCATAATTGGATAATGAGCATCTGGTGGGTTGTTCCCCCCCTCCTTTCTTTCTTGGTCCACCCACCACCCACTTTCTTGGGCCCCGAGGAGAAGGTGTAGCTTTCTCAGATGAGCAAACTCATCAGCTTGGGACACCTGGAGCATAATCGTTACTGAGGTGCCTCAGCTAAGCTTGCTTGACTTCTTCTCTTTAGAGAAACACCCGCACTGTGGAATCGAGAAGAGAGGTGGTTAGGACAATTCGCCTTAGGCGCTGAGGGTTTGTGGGTTTCTTCGCTAAGAAATTATGCTCTTGACAAAAGAGAGTTTGCAACCCGGCACCTCCAGGTGCTGGATGTGGGACCCTACACAGCTTGCAAGTGGTGTGGTGTTGTTGTTTGCCTAAGCCAGTACCACGCCAGGCCTGACCGGATCCAGCCCTCTGTTCGAGCGCATGGGCCTGGTGAAGAACCATGAATCGATCAAGACACATGGGCAAGATCCGGAGGCGGCTGGAGGACGTCAAAAACTGGTCCTTCCGGCTGGCGAAACTGGATTTCAGTCACAACGAAAGTGTCCGGCTGGCCACGGACGCCCTCTTAGATGGCGGTCTCCAGTCTTATCTCAAGGCCTTGGATGAAGAAGGAGAAGTGGACTTCTTGTCCACAGTGGAAGCTCAGTACATCAAGAGGAACATGAGGGAGCCTTACTACGCCAGCGACACGCACCCCGATGGCGAAACCGGGCCGAGGCAGAATAATGACACCAGGTCCCTCCAGTCAGGGACGTACTTCCCTCTCGTCTCAGAGAGCAGCGAACCGGCTCTTCTCCACACATGGAGTGCGTCTGAGAAGCCCTACCTGAAGGAGAAGTCCAGCGCCACGGTGTATTTCCAGACGGATAAGAACAGCAATATCCGGGACCTCATACGCCGCTGTATCAACAAGACCAGTCAGGTATGACGGATGGGATTTGGGTGGGCAAATGCGCAGGCAGGCTAGGCCTGGAGAGGCAAGGCTCAAGGGCTGTGGAGGGTCAGGCAAGGAGACCCAGGTTCAAAGGTGCACTCAAGTTGTGAAGCTCACTGGGTGGCCTTGGGCCAGCCACCAACTCTAAGCCCAAACTGTCTCGTAGGGTTGTTGGGAAGCTGATATAGAGAAAGGGAGAGGCATGTACACCATCTCAGAGGAAAGGTGGGATAGGAATGCAGTAATAAAACATTAAATGAGCTGAACGAAATAATAATAAATAAGCCAGAAGCTGTGTCACAGTCTGGAGCTATTGTATGGTTTCTGATGTGGTGAGAAGGACAGCAGATAGCTCGGTTGGTAGAGCACAAGACTCTTAATCTCAGGGCTGTGGGTTTGAGCCCCATGTTGGGTGAAAGATTCCTGCATTGCAGGGGGCTGGACTAGATGGCCCTCAGGGTCCCTTCCAACTCTACAGTTCAATGATTTTTATGAGCGCAACATGTCAGCAGCACAGTGGACATTGTACCCTCTGCAATGCCGCAGGTCATTTGGGATATTAACTTATGTTCTGTGTGTGTGGTTTGGGAGCTGCATGGTCAGGGGAAAACAATGCTGTCCAGGGTTGTAAAGGCTGCGGAGAGAATAATTGGGTGCACTCTTCCCACCTTGGATCAAATCTATGCTTCCAGGTTTCATAAGAAAGCTGCAGAGATAGTGCGCACTCTGGAAATGATCTCTTTCAGCTTCTGCCTTCTGGAAGAAGGTACAGGGTTATAAAGACTAGGACTAGCCGCCTGAGAAACAGTTTATATCCAAATGCGATTTTGGTTTTAAACGCAGTGTAAAGTAGTCTCTATGGCATGGCTGTCAAGTTTTCCCTTTTCTTGCGAGGAATCCTATTTTGAATAAGGGAATTTCCCTTTAAAAAAGGGAAGTGTTGACAGCTATGCTCTATGGGAGTATATTGTATTTAATTATGGGGTATCAGAGTTTTTAGAGGGTTAACCAGGCTGGGATAGCAGGCGTGTTGGTTTTTGAATATCTGATGTAGATTTTTCAATTTCGTTCTGTATGGGACAATGACAAAAAAGATTATCGTATTGTATATAGGAAGAACCTTAAACTGAATCATTGTCTACACTGACGGACAGCAGCTATGCAGGGTTTAAGGGAGGGGATGGTCCCAGCTGCACCTAGAGATGTTGGGGGTTGAATTTGGGACCTTCAGCTGCAAGGCAGACGCTCTACCTCTGAACTACGGTGTGCTCCGTTTGAATGGAAGCAGCGAAGTTCCCAGCCTTCCTTGCTTAATATGTGGCTGGAGGGGACAGATGACAATAATCTTTGAGAAAACCTTGCTTTCAAATTTATGGTTATCTCCTCTTACATTTTAACCTGAATGAATACAGAGCTTCCTTTTGGCAGGGAAGGACCTGGTATTTGCCTTTCCAGGAGCTAGCTAGAAGGGCGGTGGGGAGAGCATTCTCTACAGCATTTTGCAAGGATTCCTGGGAGACGGTTGTTTTGCAGAGAATACACATGATACCTTTGAAGCACATCGGGAGCATGTTATTTCTGTCCAATAATTATGGGAGCTGCAGCTCCCAGAAGACCCTACAGTGCCCAGAATGTGCTTTATGATACCCATTCAAGCCATGGGTTTTGGTTTCATGTGCTTCTTTGAGTTTACTGCGGCACCCATACAGATGGAAAAAGAGGGGGACGATCCTTTGCCATCTCTGGCCTCTGCGGTTTAAGCAGGACGCTATCCGCAGGCACTTGGACTTACAATATTGACCTACTTTGCAGGGCTGCTGGGAGGATGGCTGAGTTAAAGCTTGCTTCGAACGCCCAGCAAGTTCTGAATAAATACCGTAGTACCTTGGTTCTCAAATGCCTTGGTTCTCAAACAACTTGGAACCCAAACACTGCAAACCCTGGAAATAAATGTTCCGGTTTGTGAACTTTTTTCAGAAGGCAAACGTGCTCTGTTTTGAGTGTTATGCTTCCATTTTGAGTGCCACACTTCCATTTTGAGTGTTACCCTGAGGTCTGTCTGTTTTTGCTTATTTATTTAATTTACGTTTTTGTTTTTGCGGCTCTTCTTTTGTGTGAATGTGTGGAACTCAAACTCAGCTCAGCTACTGATTGATTGCTTGTGTGACTGCAGTACATTGCTTATTGCTTTCATTTAATGTATCAATGGTCTTGTTAGATAATAAAATTTAGTTTGCATTACTTTCTATGGGAAAGCGCGCCTTGCCTTTGGAACGCTTTGGTTTTGGAACGGACTTCCAGAACCAAGGTACCACTGTACTGCCACCGGTCTGCTTGGCAGGTACGATGTTCCCAGGTCCTCAGAGTGTATTTCAGCTTGGCCTTCATCTGCCTCCCTCCCTTCCTCCTTCTGGACCCCATCCCAGGTACTGGCTATCCTGATGGATGTGTTCACTGACACCGAGATATTCTGCGACGTCTTGGAAGCCGCAAACAAACGGAGGGTGTTTGTCTACCTGCTGCTCGACCACAGCAACCTAAAGCTCTTCACCGAAATGTGTGACAAGCTCCATGTGGCCGAGGGTCACTTCAAGGTACTATTGCAGTCTCTTGTCCATCTTCCTCTCCAAGCCCCAACCAGCTTGAATCACAACAATAGAAAGGTTGTTTTGGTGCATGTGTGTTGTCTTGTCTTAGCTTGTTTTAATTAATGGAGTGGGGGGGGGGGAACCTTGTCCTCGTTATTTTCTGACGTCCGCCAGCTTAGATGTCTTTAAAAGAGGACTTTGTTTTCTCCAATTCATGGAGAATCAGTGCGGATCCACATCATGCTTTTAAAAACACGTTTAAAGCCAAATAATCCTGGGAACCACAGTTTCCCCCTCGCGGAACTACAATTCCCAGCACCCTTAGCAAACTGCAGTTCCCAGGATTCTCTGGGGTTGCCATGTGCTGGCAAACATTTCTGACAGTAAGAGCTGTTTGACAGTCAAACCGACTCCCTCAGTAGGTTGTGGACTTCATTGGAGGTTTTTTGATGGAGGTTGGATGTCTATCTGTCAGGGATGCTTTGGTTGAGATTCCTGCATTGCAGGGGGTTGGACTAGATGATCCTTGAGGTCCCTTCCAATTCTACAATTCTCTGTGCTTTAAAAGGGACGTGGGTGGCGCTGTGGGCTAAACCACAGAGCCTAGGGCTTGCTGATCAGAAGGTCCGCACGATGGGGTGAGCTCCCGTTGCTCGGTCCCTGCTCCTGCCAACCTAGCAGTTCGAAAGCACGTCAAAGGGCAAGTAGATAAATAGGTACCACTCTGGCGGGAAGGTAAACGGCGTTTCCGTGCGCTGCTCTGGTTCGCCAGAAGCGGCTTAGTCATGCTGGCCACACGACCCAGAAGCTGTACACCGGCTCCCTCGGCCAATAAAGCGAGATGACCACCGCAACCCCACAGTCGGCCACAACTGGACCTAATGGTCAGGGGTCCCTTTACCTTATATTACAAACCCATCATATGTGTGCCGAAAGCCTGGGATGACCCAGCGTTTTGCTGCAGATCCCACTTGAAGGATAAAGCGTCGGGAGCTGGAATTTCACTTTCATACACCTGAAGGAACGTTAGATTTGTCGGGGAGGTGGACTGTAGTGAGGTAGCAGAGGCAACTTGGAAAGTATCTGAGGGGCTCCGCATACTTTCATAATCCTCTGGCAGGAATGGGGCAGGTTTCTAGGGGAACTCAGTGCATCAGAATGCAAGTGGTATTATTTACAAGTATCTATACAAGAGCACAAATAAATAATAGAAAACATTTAATAACAGCTTCCAGAGAAACAGGCACGCTAGTCCGTTCGCAACAAAACCAACCCAGAATCTTGTGGCACCTTAACAATTTTTTAAAAGTTTTTGTGGACTTTAGTCTGATTCGTGAGATGCACAATAACTGTCAATATTTATATGTCAATATTTTCCTCCAAGGAGCTGATGGCTTTGCGTCATTTTAACCACGCAACAACCCTGTGTGGTAGAGATTGTGACTAACTTGTGGCATTCTTTGATAACTTCCCAGAATATTTCCGTGCGGAGCGTCACAGGGGAGGTTTACTGTGCCAAATCGGGCCGAAAATTCTCCGGGCAAATCCAAGAAAAATTCATCATCTCCGACTGGAGATACGTTCTGTCTGGATCATACAGGTAAGCTCACCTGCTACATCCATTCACCCTGCTGCAAGAGGGTTGTGCTCACAGCTGTCTTCTGCGCTGAAGCTTGTAGGAAAAATAACTTGACAGTTCATTTGCGCCGCTTGGCTGGTGAGAGGAACAATTTAAGCAGATGGGCAACAGCAACTGCTGCCACGCTACTACACCTCCCTTGCTGCTATATACATTTTTTAAAATTATTCTATGTGACTATATCACAAGCATAAATATCTCTAATAAACATTAACTTACTAGGCTGCCAAATGCACAAGTTGGCCCTAGTGCTTCTGCGTATTTGGGTTGCCAACTTACTAAAATAATGTTTGAAGTTGCAAGATGCATTTTAATCATGACGGGGACAACAACAGTTTTCAGTCCACTTCATGGGCAACCTTTCAGGAGAGCAACCACCCCCCACCAAAAAACATATGCTGTATCAAACAAGTAGCCCCATCATATTTCTAAATGCATACTTGAAGCAACAGCACAAAGACAGTTTAACATCATGTGTTGTTGTTTAGTCATGTCCAACTCTTTGTGACCGCATGGACCAGAGCACACCAGGCACTCCTGTCTTCCACTGCCCCCCGCAGTTTGGTCAAACTCATGTTAGTAGCTTCGAGAACACTGTCCAACCATCTCGTCCTCTGTCGTCCCCTTCTCCTTGTGCCCTCCATCTTCTCCTTGTGCCATCCAACATCAGGGTCTTTTCCAGGGAGTCTTCTCTTCTCATGAGGTGGCCAAAGTATTGGAGCCTCAGCTTCAGGATCTGTCCTTCCAGTGAGCACTCAGGGCTGATTTCCTTAAGAATGGAGAGGTTTGATCTTCTTGCAGTCCATGGGACTCTCAAGAGTCTCCTCCAGCACCATAATTCAAAAGCATCTATTCTTCGGTGATCAGCCTTCTTTATGGTCCAGCTCTCACTTCCATACATCACTACTGGGAAAACCATAGCTTTAACTATACGGACCTTTGTCAGCAAGGTGATGCCTCTGCTTTTTAAGATGCCGTTTAAGATACGGTATTAAATTTGAACAGTTAACGCAGCATTCCGACAGCCTGCATACAGGTGTCATAGTTTGTGCCTGAACTTTTGCAATCACTGCTCTTTTTGGGTAAAATAATAATAATGCAGCGACAGTACTCATATATTGCTGAAAATGAGAGAGGTACTATTACTCTGTACCAGTGAGCACTAATAATAATAATAATAATAATAATAATAATAATCCCTGCTTGCAATCATAGGGGATTGAGGAGCGTGATTTAGAGGTGTACTCTCCAAAACAAAGTCCCGCCTTATGCTGGTTCTCCCCCCCCCCCCAGAAACCAACTTTAAACAGAACTATGCTAGCTTTGGGCTAGAAGAGATCTTCACACCCAATTAATTTTCTTACAAACACACACAAATGCATCTGCCTCGTCATGACATTGATATGCGGCATTAAGCAATATCTGGCACACCTGCCTGTGTTTTAGCTATGCAAGGCTAAATTATGCAGAAACCTAAAATCTCCCCTCAAGCCCCCAAACGATGCATGTTGAAAAACAGCTGGTGACAGTAAGAAAACAAGCTGAAATCGGGATTTTCCTCCTTTGGTTAAGAATGGGCAGAGCTGGTTAGGGGATGGGAAGCAGGCGGAAAAACCCTCTAGCTATTGGGGATGTTCCAGATCCCTTGCAATTCTAGCCAGTTTTACTTGCAGAGGGGTAAAGAAAGCATCATTTATAAACCCATGCAAGCCATTTTCCACCCAGCTGCTCAGCAAGAAGAAAACCTGGGCACTTGGAACTTCTTTAGTATAGTAAAATTGCAAGTCGAAACACTTTTTCTTATATAGCCTGGGCTAGCTCAACCGGTAGAGCACGAGACTCTTGATCTCAGGGCTGTGGGTTTGAGCCTTGCCTTGGGCAAAAGATTCCTGCATTTCAGGGAGTTGGACAAGATGAATCTCGTGATCCCTCCCAAATCTATGAGTCTATGACTTGACCGGTTTCCTACAGGCATCTGGTTGGCCACGGTGAGAGTAGAATGCTGAACTAGATGGGCTTACGTTCTTAAGTCCACATCAGTCCCTTGAGTTATGTGTAGAAGAGGCTATGTGTTGGTGCTGACCATTAAATTAAAGTGTTGGTAAGGTAAAGGTGACGCAGGTGGTAAGTGTTGGTAAGGTAAGGGACGCAGGTGGCGCTGTGGGTTAAAGCCTCAGCACCTAGGACTTGCCGATCAAAAGGTCGGCGGTTCAAATCCCTGCGGTGGGGTGCGCTCCTGTCGTTCGGTCCCAGCGCCTGCCAACCTAGCAGTTCGAAAGCATCTTCGGGTGCAAGTAGATAAATAGGGACCGCTTACTAGCGGGAAGGTAAACGGTGTTCCGTGTGCTGCGCTGGCTTGCCAGAGCAGCGATGTCACGCTGGCCACGTGACCCGGAAGTGTCTGCGGACAGCACTGGCTCCCGGCCTATAGAGTGAGATGAGCGCACAACCCTAGAGTCTGGCAAGACTGCCCCGTACGGGCAGGGGTACCTTTACCCTTTACCTTTTTAAGGTAAAGGTAAAGGGACCCCTGACTATTAGGTCCAGTCGTCGCTGACTCTGGAGTTGTGGTGCTCATCTCGCTTTATTGGCCGAGGGAGCCGGCGTACAGCTTCCGGGTCATGTGGCCAGCATGACTAAGCCGCTTCTGGCAAACCAGAGCAGCACACGGAAATGCCGTTTACCTTCCTGCCGGAGCCGTACCTGTTTATCTACTTGCACTGGTGTGCTTTCGAACTGCTAGGTTTGCAGGAGCAGGGACCAAGCAACGGGAACTCACACTGTCGTGGGGATTCGAACCGCCGACCTTCTGATCGGCAAGCCCTAGGCTCTGTGGTTTAACCCACAGCGCCACCCGCATCCCTTAAGTGTTGGTATTGACCTGTAAAACCCTAAATGGCCTCAGCCCAGTATACCTGAAGGAGCTTCTCCACCCCCACCATTCAGCCCAGACACTGAGGTCCAGCTCCGAGGGCCTTCTGGCCGTTCCCTCACTGCGAGGTTACAGGGAACCAGATAGAGGGCCTTCTTGGTAGTGGCGCCCGCCCTGTGGAACGCCCTCCCATCAAATGTCAAGGAATAAACAACTACCGTGGTACCTCTGGTTGCGAACGGGACCCGTTCCTGAGGCCCGTTCGCAACATGAAAAGAACGCAAGCCGCATCTGCGCATCTGCGCATGCGCGGGTTGCCATTCGCCACTTCTGTGCATGCGCATGATGTCATTTTGTGCTTCTGCACATGTGTGAGCGGCGAAACCCAGAAGTAACCCTTTCCGGTACTTCCGGGTCGCTGCGGGACATAACCTGAAAGAACGTAACATGAAGCGGACGTAATATGAGGTATGACTGTATCTGACTTTTAGAAGACATCTGAAGACAGCCCTGTTTAGGGAAGCTTTTAATGTTCGATGTTTTATCATGTTTTTAATATTCTGTTTGGAGCTCCCCAGAGTGGCTGGAGAAACCCAGCCAGATGAGCGGGGTATAAATAATAATAATAATTATTACTATGCCTTTCTAAGTTGTTAACCTGGATATTTTCCCCATCTTTCCCCCACTTCGCACCCAACCGCCCGCCTCCTCTTGCCTCCCAGCTTCACATGGTTGTGCGGCCAAGTCCACCGCAACTTCCTCTCCAAGTTCACGGGCCAAGTGGTGGAGCTGTTCGACGAGGAGTTCCGGCACCTCTACGCCCTATCCAAGCCTGTGGCTGGGTTGAGACCTCCCTCACACACGTCCCTCTTCCTGCTCAACAAGAGCACGGCGGCCACCCAAGGCAGCCTCACCAACAGCAGCAACCAGGGCAGCCTCCGCACCCCGTCGGACCCCTTCAGCTGCCCGTCGAACCACAGCGGCTCGCGAAGCAGGCAACCGCCCAAGGCTCCTGTTCGTAGCAGCCACCCGGCATCTCCATCGCCTCTCAGCAGGGTCCATTCTTTCCACGGTTACACCACCTACATGAACCCGCAGCCAAACGGCATCCAGGTCAACTACTACCACCGGCAATACATCAGCGACTCGCCGGCGGTCCTTTACAACAAAGTCAACATCTACAGGCCTATGAGGATGAGGCAAGAGGATGTCAAAAGGGCACAGATGAACCCAGTCTGGAGGTGCCTTCACAATGCTAACCTGCTTGGATGACTTGACTGGGGCCAGGGGTTTGCTGTCTTTGTGGGAATGCTTAGGGATGCGGGGGAGGATATATTGTCCAAGATATCTTATCCCAACTTGTCTTTACAAGTTCAACAAAATCAGCAGAGTTAACATTCCCCCCTTTTTAAAAACACACGCACTGCAGATAGCTTGCTCAGACTCGTTAGAGTCTCTGTAAATATTTCCTAGTATTTTCCCCATTTAATCCCTCCTAGAATAAGATGCTACACAGTCTTCGGTAAAGTATAAAACGAATCCCCATGACGGGGTGAGCTCCCATCGCTTGGTCCCTGCTCCTGCCAACCTAGCAGTTCGAAAATACACCAAAAGAGCAAGTAGCTAAATAGGTACCGCTCCAGCGGGAAGGTAAACGACCTTTCCGTGCGCTGCTCTGGTTTGCCAGAAGCGGCTTAGTCATGCTGACCACATGACCTGGAAGCTGTACGCCGGCTCCATCAGCCAACAAAGCAAGATGAGCGCCGCAACCCCAGAGTCGGTCACGACTGGACCTAATGGTCAGGGGTCCCTTTACTTTTACCTTTAAAAAACCTGCAATCCCTGGTGCCGTATCCTTTTGGGTCGCTGAGGCTACGTATCCACGGCATCTTCCTCATGTATATTGCTTTCATGTATATCTGCTCTTCATTTGTACTTCGTGTTTCAGCATATGCGAAATTAAAAAACCTTGCCGGAAACATTTCCGCCCAGCAAGCTGGAATTTTTTTTGCTCAGATGCAACCTTCGGCATAGCGGTGCACTGAATTCCACCCTATATATGTTGTTGGCAGCTGTCTGTCTTGAGAGACAATGGAGTGCACCTCCGGGGGTGAAGTCAAACCGCTGCATTAGCAGCACTGAAGTGACCTCCTGTGGCGCAAGCCTGGGCCTGTGTGTATATGGAGGTCCTGGGCTACCCAGACGACAAGACCCCCCTCTCCTTCTTGCTGATGTGGTCCAAAGATGTCTGGCACCAGCTTGGCTGCAGGAGTTAGATGGCATACACAGTACCATCCAACCATCTTAAGCAGGGGTCAGCAACTTAAGGCCCATGGGAGGTGGTTTGACTGGCCCATGAGCCGCCCCCAAACCGAGCCGCCTGCTCACCCGCTGTGCTAAACCGGCGCAGCGCAGCGACTTGCTTCTGCGGCACCAGAATTCACGTCTGCGCATGCACAGACGCCAGAAATCGCGGGCGCACACGCAATCCGGCCCATGGAGGGATCTCTGCAGGACCGATCCAGCCCAGGCAAGATAAACCTTGCTGACCCCTGGTCTTAAGAGACTCCACTCTGGATTTGTGTAGGGTTTAATCCTTAGCCGTTTCTTCTCCCAAAGATATCCCACAAAGGCAGCGGAGGTTTAGGATCAGAGTTTTCTTTCTCCTAAATGGGCTCCTTTTCCAGGTTGACAAGACCCAGCTGCCCCACATTTCCCTCTGCCTTTATGTAATAATAATAGAAAATCATTAAAAAGTGTCCACTAGCTGATAGGAAAACATTTTGGAGGGCAGCTTTTTGAGGAATCACCCCCTTTTTTACACTTCAGCTGCACCTACCCTTGGAAAAAAAGTGAGCCACCCCTATTACTTTATTAGTATTATTTATTAAATTTGTATACCACCCCTATACCTGTAGATCTCAGGGTGGTTACAACATAAAATCACAATATAAAGACACAAAATACATAATAAAAACAAAACCAACCCAATAATCCCCTCTTCCACAACACATGTAAAAGGGCATTAGCTGTCAATCAGCCAAAGGCCTGGTTAAAGAGGAACGTTTTTGCATGATGCCTAATATATGAAAAGCTGCCATGTAGAATGTCAAGGTAACTGGATCTCCCCATTTACCTGGAAAATACCAGGGACTGAACTATTAACTATCTGGAATGTGGACTGTTCTGGGATGGGAAGCATAATATCGTATTGGCCCGGATATAAGCCACACCTGAATATAAGCCTCACCTTTAAAATCGGGGAGAGAGAAATTAACAGAATATAAGCCACTCGCCTTCCTCGCTCTCTCCCTTCCCGGCCTTGGGGGAGAGGACAGGGGACTACGCATAGGGAGGGCACCACTTTGCTGCGCTCTTGGATACTTACCATAAGGTTGCAAATATAAGCCGCACTTTAACTTTTCATGATCAGAATTTGGGGAGAAAGTGAGGCTTATATTCAGGCCAATACGGTAGATGGTGTTTTCCCCCTGCTCTGATCTGGGGAATGACATGAAGCTGCTCACAAGAAGTTACACTTACCGAGAACCAACCTCTAAGAAGAGGATTGTAGCACATGCAAGAGACAAATGGGAGACAGGCCCCTGCTCAAGATCCCCCAGGGTTACTTTCTCACATGGACATCCCTTTTGCAAATGGGCAATGGGAGGGAAGTTTGTCAAACCTTATTTGAGGCCTGTGCTACTCTGCTATCGTTCCACGGAGCAGATCCATGCACTGGGAGACCCAAAAGTGAATGGGTCACGAACTAGCAGCCTGGGAAATGGCTTGCTATGTTAGAATTCCTGCTCCATGATTGCAGTCGTGGGATTGTTGTCTATCACATGACGGTGTATGTTTTGACTCCACAGAGTGGGAAGTGACGAAGGATGTTTGTGTCACTGTGTTCCGTGAAGTGGGACTATTCTCCTTTGTTCTCACTCTTTGCTGTCTGATGCTAGAGAGAGAGGGAGCCATGTTGCAGTGCTCTGTGTGTGTTTATATGTAAATAAAGTAGATTAGCCAAAATGCTGAGTTGCTGAGGTCCGTCATGCAAGTTGTGCAAACTCTGCGGATCCCTAAGTGTGCTGGTGTCAGTTGGCATCGGTCGCTGTGATGTTCGGGCTGAAGGAAGCTTATGAAGCTCCCGAACGAAAGACCAGGAGGGAGATAACATGCCAGTCGGGCATGCGTCTCTGCCAGGGTCCTACTCGAGTGTAGGCTGAACTCCTGACATGCCATTCATCAATCGCCTTGCCAAAAACAAGTTCATAACCTTCCCCATGCCGGCTAAACCATTCTCATTTAACATTGAAGAGGGCAACCATCCCAGGCTCAGACAGATGGAATCAGAATTCTTCTCTGGCCAGTACAATCCTCTAGGCACTTACATACAAATCATCTTGATAACCAGGAAAGCAAAAATGCATCCAAGAGTCTCCATGCAGGCACCCTGCGCTATGTGTGACAGTCCAAGTGCGGCAACTGGTCTCTGAGCTTCTGAAACCACTTCTTTTCAAATTCCATGGCAGTCACAGTCATCATGGATGCCAGGGTTGAAGCACCTAAGCATTTCACCTCTCCCTGAGCATCCTCCTTGAGCTTTTCTGGGACAAGGTCCTCTCCCATGACCTGCAGGGAAGGGGGAAAAAGGCAGGTTACATTAGCATGTAAGAAGAACCTGCTAGATCAGGCCAATGGTCCATCTAGTCCAGCATCTTGTCCTCACGGTGGACAACTAGGTGTCCGTCAGAAACCTGCAAGCAGGACTTCAATACAAGAGCACCCTCCCTTCCTGTGGTTTCCAGCGACTGGTATTCAGAAGGAAAAGTGGCCCGCAGGCTGAAAAGGGTCCCCTGGTCCAGAAAGATCTTCATTGGCTCCCAGTACGTTTCCGAGCACAATTCAAAGTGTTGGTGCTGACCTCTAAAGCCCTAAATGGCCTCAGTCCTGCGCCGAGGGCCTTCTGGCGGTTCCCTCACTGCGAGAAATGAGGTTACAGGGAACCAGGCAGAGGGCCTTCTTGGTAGTGGCGCCTGCCCTGTGGAACGCCCTCCCAGCAAGGCAATAAACAACTATTTTACTTTTAAAAGACAACTGAAGGCGGCCCTGTTTAGGGAAGTTTTAATGTCTGATGCTGTATTATTTTTAATATTCAGGCAGAGGGCCTTCTTGGTAGTGGTGCCCGCCCTGTGGAACGCCCTCCCAGAAGATGTCAAGGCAATAAGCAACTATTTTACTTTTAAAAGACAACTGAAGGCGGCCCTGTTTAGGAAAGTTTTTAAAGTCTGATGCTGTATTGTTTTTAATATTCAGTTGGAAGCTGCCCAGAGTGGCTGAGGAAACCCAGCCAGATGGGCGGGGTATAAATAAATTATTATTATTATTATTATTATTATTATTATTATTATTATTATTATTCTATACATTCAGCGTGGCTTCTGACATTTTCTGGCAGGGGTGGGGAACCTGTGGCTCTCCAGATCTTGATAGATCTTGAACTCCTATGCGTTCCAGCTACCATGGCCAACGATCAGGGGTTATAGAAGCTGCAGTCTAGCCATAGCTGGAGGGCCACAGGTTCCCTAACCTGGCACAGAACTTCCACTCACCTCAGTCATCAAAAGCAAGGCGTCGCCTTTCAAGCCGAAGGATGCAATTTTGTCTTCAATTTCCTGCTGAGCCTTCAAGTTACTCTCTAACGCAAAGGAAGACTGATTCGACTGAATGAGCTGCAGCAAGAGGCTGGAGGAAGAGGAAAACTAAAGCTGAGTGTACACAGCGGAGTCGCAAGAGTTTTGACAGCCAAAACGAACACATGACAACGTTGTTGAATTTTAAAAAGATTTCACAGAATGAGTTCCCAATATGGGAAGTATGAGTGTTTTGCAGCTGGTATACTACACCAGTAAGGTAAAGGTAAAGGTACCCCTGCCCGTGCGGGCCAGTCTTGCCAGACTCTAGGGTTGTGCGCCCATCTCACTTAAGAGGCCGGGAGCCAGCGCTGTCCGGAGACACTTCCGGGTCACGTGGCTAGCGTGACAAGCTGCATCTGGCGAGCCAGCGCAGCACACGGAACGCCGTTTACCTTCCCGCTGGTAAGCAGTCCCTATTTATCTACTTGCACCTGGGGGTGCTTTCGAACTGCTAGGTTGGCAGGCGCTGGGACCGAACGACGGGAGCGCACCCCGCAGCGGGGATTAGAACCGCCGACCATGCGATCGGCAAGTCCTAGGCACTGAGGTTTTACCCACAGCGCCACCTGCGTCCCTTACTACACCAGTACAAATAGCAAAAATGTACAAAACTGGGTCAAACATATGTTGGAAATGTAAAGAAAAAGAAGGTACTTTTTATCATATGTGATGGGAATGTAGAGAAGTTAAAAAAAATTGGGAAATGATACATAGTGAACTGAAAAAAATGTTTAAAATGACTTTTGTAAAAAAAAAACCCAGAAGCATTTCTATTGGGGATTGTAGGACAAGACCTGCCAAAAAAAAACCAAAGAACTTACTTATAACATTCAGAGAATATGTGCAAAGAAACCAGAGAAGGGAGCTGAGGGAAGTCCTGGGTGGGGCGGAGAAGGAGGGGGGGAAAGGGGGGGGAAATAATGTAATTATTTGGATTGATAATTTGCTATGCTGAAACTGTCTAATAATTTTTTTAAAAAAGAGAACTGTATGGAATATTTTGTACACACACAGTGATAATTTTATAGACAGTGTTGCACATTACCTTGCTCTGATGAAGGAAGCACATGCATATATCCATAGATCTTTAGACCCTTCTTGTCCCGAGGAATCAGGTACAGCCGCCTTGGTCACATGCAAAGGTGCCTTCGTCCTTCCCAAGGCACCAAAATGCCCCTTTTCTGTTTGGCGTTCCTCACAAGATCCAAAGCTGTTGTTTGTCCAGGGAGAAAACTGCAAAGAGGAACCCTTCCTTGAGCTGTCTTTTTTGCAGCACTGGGATCTGCATTCCTTTGCCAAAGCTTTGAGACAGTTGCCTGCAGTCAAGCGATCCGGTTGCAAGAGATCCGCCTCCGACAGAGACAATGGGGCTGGAAACTCCAAGAGTTTTGCATAAGCTTCAGCAAGCAGCTTCCAGTTCCCTGGGTGAAAGGGGTGCAACAAAACCAGCGGCTGTAAGCACCCAATTATTTCCTCGACACGCTCCAGAGTCTGGTAAATGGCCAGCTGCAGCCCTAGTGCTGTTGTTATGTGGTCACTGTTTGTTGCTCCTAGTCTCTGGCAAGAAAGAAAAGAAATTCAAGGATTAAAAGGATGCATTATTGACTTTTTTATTAGAATCTGGAAAGGTGGGGGGACACATTTTCTTGAATAAAGAAGTATGCACTCAGACGGCTTAAAAATAATATCCAAATTTAACAGGGCAAGAAGAAGCAATAGAGCTAACACCGTGGCCATGATAGCACATAACGAAAAGCCAAAATTACTGCCTGAACAAGCTATTAGCTCACAGTGCCTCCCATTTCACTTGCTGCCTGGCAGAAGCATGGAAACAAACCAGAAGGCCTTGCCTGATGAAATCTCTCCCCCTCCTGTGGATTTCAGCAACATTGCTGCCTCCAACTGTGGAGGCAAGAGCACAGACATCATGGCTAGTAGCCACTGATAGCTTTTACCTCCATGAGGGTGTCCAATCCTCTTTTAAAGCCACCCAGGTTAGTGGCCATAACTGCCTCTTGTGGGAGTGAGTTCCACAGTTTACTACTACTACTAAATTTTTATTTATACCCCGCCCTTCCCGGCTCAAAAACTGGGCTCAGGGCGGCTAACAACAAATTTAAAACACTTAATTGTAAAAGCAGCATAAAATACAATATAAAAACATGAATAACAATAAAATTCAAAATTCAGAGATCAATTTAGGGGAAATAAGCATTAGATAATCCCCAGGGCTAGCTGGCTGAATTGGTCCTACTTGGGCCAGCGAGGAGACCGGGGAGAATTAGCTGTGGGGTCTCAGAGCGGGTAATCTGCATGAAGAAGTACCGTATTTTTCATTCTATAAGACACACATTTTCCCCTCCAAAAATTAAGAGGAAATGTGTGTGCGTCTTATTGAGCGCATGCAGGCTCCTTGGCTTCAGCGATAGCAATGCGAAGCCCCTGAAGGGCAGTGGGAGCGCTCCCACCACGCTCCGGAGGCTTTGGGTTCCTTTCGCTGAAGCCTGGGGAGTCTTGCTCTCCAGGCTTCAGCAAAAGGAACCCGAGGCTATCTGGAGAGCGAGAGGGGTCGGTGCGCACCCACCCCTCTCACTCTCCAGATAGCCGCCTGAAGCCTCCGGAGCACAGCGGGAGCTCCCGCTGCGCTCCGGAGGCTTCGGGTTCCTTTCGCTGAAGGGTAGGTGCCCCTTCAGCTAAGGTGCAGTGCCCCTTCAGCTAAGCAGGAGGAGAAATGGAAGGGGCTCCGTTTCTCCTGCCACTTCGCTGAAGGGGCGCTGCGCAGAGAGGGGGAGATTTTTTTTTCTTGTTCTCCCCCTCTAAAACAAGGTGTGTCCTATAGAGCAAAAAATACGGTACTTTCTTCAGTTTGCCCTGCACCTTCCAATATTCAGCTTCATTGGGTGTCTACAAGTTGTGGTGTTATGAGAGAGGGAGAAAAGCTGTTATCTATCCACTTTTCTCCATGCTATGCATAAACGTCTATCATGTCACTTCTTCCTCACCTTTTCTATAGACTAAAAAGTTCTAAATGCTGCAACCTTTCCTCATGGTGGAGTCGCTCCTTTTTGAGGTGAGATGACTTGCATTGTACACAGTACAGTGGTACCTCAAGTTACAGATGCTTCCGGGAAGTGTAGTTTACCCCTCAGAGAGCTACAACCTCCAAGCTACACTTCCCACAATTCTTTCAGGGAAGTCATTTTTTTTTTTTAATAAATATTTTTATTGAGTTTCTTTTCTTACAGTCAGAAATGTAAAGTGTAGAGAAAAAAGAAAAAGAACAGAGAAAAAAAGAAATATATAACAATCCAACTTTCCATAATTTTTTTAACAATCCAACTGGATTTCCCCACATCCTCCAAGCCCTGCGTTCTTTGCACTAAAAACGTCAGCAATTTGTTACCTTATTTCATAACTTACTGTATCTTTCGGTTATCATGTTTCTAAGTTCACAATGTTATATCCCAATTCTTATATATTTGGAATAAACATAATAAAGTTATTTCGTGTTTTCGCCTCTTCTTTTTTATAACTTAGTTTCCAATTCACCTAATCGAGTTGCTGAAGCAAAAGTTTCCTAATCGTACACATTCTTAACATTCATACAGCTTATAATGTTTTTTGCAAATAGTCCTTAAATTTTTTCCAGTCCTCCTCCATTGTTTCCTCTCCCAAATCTCGGATTCTGCCAGTCATTTCAGCCAATTCCATGTAGTCCATCAACTGCGTCTGCCATTCCTCCAGCGTGGGTAGATCTTGTGTCTTCCAGTACTTTGCGATGAGGATTCTTGCTGCTGTAGTAGCATACATAAACAAAGATCTATCCTTCTTTGACACCTTCTGGTCCACCATGCCCAGGAGGAAGGCCTCTGGTTTCTTGGGAAAGGTACATCTAAATACCTTTTTTAACTCATTGTAAATCACTTCCCAGAAGGCCTTCACTTTTGGGCAGGTCCACCAGAGGTGAAAGAATGTCCCTTCCGCCTCCTTACATTTCCAACATTTGTTATCAGACAGGTGATATATTTTAGCCAACTTAACTGGGGTCATGTACCACCGGTATATCATTTTCATAATGTTTTCCTTCAAGGCATTACATGCCGTGAACTTCATTCCGGTGTTCCATAACCTTTCCCAGTCCTCAAACATAATGTTGTGCCCAATGTCCTGTGCCCACTTTATCATGGCAGATTTTACTGTCTCATCCTGTGCATTCCATTTAAGCAGCATGGAAGGGAAGTCATGAGCTTTAAATATATTGTGTGTATACCGCCTCCGTCTCCCTCACAACCTAACCTACCTTCACAGGGTCGCTGTGATGATGAAAGCAGGGAGAGGGATAACAAGGAGGACCACCTTGAGCTCCTCGGAGGAAAGATGGAATAGAAACGCAACAATTAAAAAAAGAGGGGGGAAATGGGGAAACTACCAACCAGCGTTTCTGCGATCTCCAAGGCTTCCTTGTGTCTCCCCAGGTGAGCAAAGCAACGAGCCCGGCTCTCTTGCACATCTCTCCGCATGGCAGCGTTGCTAGGAGGCAGCAGCGCAAGGCAGCCGGAATATTCGCACAGAGCCTTCTGAAACGAGATTTTGCAAACACCGAGCTTGAACTTAGTGCGACTGAGTGGCCTGAGAACTGTGCGCAATCATTAGGCATAAAGCAAGATCAAGGCCCAAGTTCTAGGATAAGAAATAATATTAATGCTGAAAAGCGGGACAGGGAACCTTTTCCATTCAGCCTGAGAGCCACATTCAATTCCAGGTAACCATCTGGGGGCCACATGGCAGCGGTGGGTGTGGCCAGGCGCACACCACTTTTCTGTCTTCCATCAAGGCAAACAAAGGGCATTGTCACAGTTCAAGGAAGCGTTCCAGCCAGGTAAGATCACTTGGGGGGGGGGCAGACATTTTTTAAGGGCCATTAAGACTTGAGGGTTATGGGACGCAGGTGGCGCTGTGGGTTAAGCCACAGAGCCTAGGACTTGCCAATCAGAAGGTCAGCGGTTCGAATCCCTGTGATCGGGTGAGCTCCCGTTGCTCGGTCCCTGCTCCTGCCAACCTAGCAGTTCGAAAGCACGTCAAAGTGCAAGTAGATAAATAGGTACCGCTCCGGCGGGAAGGTAAACAGCATTTCCGTGTGCTGCTCTGGTTCGCCAGAAGCGACTTAGTCATGCTGGCTACATGACCCAGAAGCTGTACGCTGGCTCCCTCGGCCAATAAAGCGAGATGAGCGCCGCAACCCCAGAGTCAGCCATGACTGGACCTAATGGTCAGGGGTCCCTTTACCCTTTAAGACTTGAGGGTTAGACAGAAAAGTGTGGAGTGTGGCATTTGGCTTCTGAGGTTCCTTGTTTAAAGTGTGCAGTCCTATACACCCTTACGTAGTTGCAAGTCCCATTGATGTGCACAGGATGTTGCTGTAACGCCAGGCTGGCACCCAGATGGCATTCTGCCATCTCCCTGTCACCTTGCCCTTTACCAAATTCCTGGGACCAATTGCAACAACACCAAAATATGAAAATGAAAGTGGGCAAGATGCAAAATGTAAACGTACAATTATAAAAAAATCAAAGAAAAAACAGTGAGGGGAACCCTCTGATTTGAGTCAGTATTTATTTTATTTATTCGTTCTAAAAATGTCATGGGGATAAACGATATAAACATGCTCTCACGTGCAAGATTTTATCACGTGCCTGAAAGATACACATTCAAATAATAGTATCCAGAATACCTTAAATTCTCGCTGCTTGTATGCCAAATCTCCTCTGAATTTTTTAATGTTGACACATTCGGCATCATCATCCCAGTCTGTTTCCTCACAAAACCACTGCAGGGAGGAAAAGGGGAGAAAAATCAGTTGTGTTGCTTGGGTTACCAATCGATTCCATAAATATCAATTGACTCTTGCATGCCGGATACACCCATCCATCAGAGTGACAAAGCAGGCTCTTAGTTATGAAAACTCATGCCAAAAGAATAAACTACCTACTTTCAAAGTGGGGAATGGGAGACTGTGGCCCTCCAGATGTTGGACTTCATTCCCATCAGCTCCAGCCAACAATAATCTGGTGAGCCACAGGTTCCACCGTTCCTGCTGCAAAGAATTACAAGACTCTGATTTCACACACACACACACACACACACCCCCCGCAACAGGCATACAAAGCTCTTTAAACATTTAGGAAGAGTCAAACGTTTTGCAAGAACTTTCTGAAGGTAAGAGCTGTTTGACTGACTGCCTTGGAAGGTGGTGGACTCTCCTTCATTGGAGTTTTTTAAACAGACTCTTTGGACTAGATGACTCTTGGGGGTCCCTTTTCAATTCTATGATACTGAGTTCCCCTTTCCCCTCTACCCCATAAATCAGGCTTCCTCAACCTGGTCCTCTCCAGATAGGGTTGCCACCTGTCCTGTATAATACAGGATTGTCCCGTATTTCAACATAAAATGCTATGTCCTGTACTGATAGAGTTTTGTCCTGTATTTCAGGTCTTCTTTTTCTCTCTCATTCTCTCTTCCTACCTCCCCCCAAAAAAGTTAGGGATCCTCTCCACATGCATATGTTTGAAAGGATGTGTGAAAGATGACGTACTTAAGCTCTGGGTAGCCACAGGCAGGTTTACAAATTCGTGTGTGCATGTGACAAATTTCAGAGGGGCCATCCTGTTAGGCTGCAATAAGTTGCAATGGATTGCTTCGAAGTCCCTGTGTTTTTAATATTTTGTTGGGAGCCGCCCAGAGTGGCTGGGGCAACCAGTCAGATGGCCAGCATTATAATAATAATGACAATAATGATAATAATAATTATAATTGCTATAAGAACAACAACAAATAATTGCAATAATAATAATATAATATTAATAATAAAATAAATTAAAAAAAAACACCAAATGGGGGGGAATCACCCCCCCAACCGCCTTGCCCCACATTTTGCCAGAACAAACGCAACAATCTCCAGATGTTTTGGATGACAATTCCAACCAGCTTCAGTCTGTTGGGAGTTTCAGTCCAAAGCATCTGGGGGCCACCAGGTCAGAGAAGGCAGAGGCATGGAGAGAACCTGCCCTGGGAGCTGCGAGGTTGGACCAACACTCATTTAAAGCCCATTTATAGCTTCCCCCAATGATTCCTGGGAAATGTATCTCTGTGGGGGAGGGGTTAAAAACTACACTTCCCAGGATTCTATGGGGCCTCCTCCCATCCCAACCCCAGCCTTCTCTCTCTCCCTCACCTCGGGCTCACAGCACCGGGGGCTGTAGCCGAGGGAAGGGGAGGCGGAGCCGCGTCCCTTCCCCTCCCGGCAGCGCCCCTCGAAGACCGACTCCTCGAAGTCGAAAGGCAGCGCCATGCCGCCTTGGGAAGAGAGGCGAGCGAGCGCGCCGGAAGCCCACGCTCCTAGAGAGGGTCCCGTTTCCGGATCACAGAGGACGGCGCTGCGCCGCAAGCTAGACAGGCCTGGGCGGGCTTACGGAGACAACTCATAGACTTGTAAATGCTGTAGAGGCGTACGCAAGGTGCGAGCTTCCGGGTCGGCTTGGGAAGGCATTCCTCGTCGAACCTGGCGCTTGGAACGCGGCGCGGGCAAACGGAGGCGGGGCTTGCGCAGCACCGATTGCACAGCATCTGTGGCGCCCTCGCCGCACTTACACCCCACTCTCTTTTTGGTGTTTCAGCAGTTGAAACGTCAAGTGCGGATGGAGGAAGCCGGCTTGCATGCAAAACCAAACTCTGAATTTAGTCCTCGCTGCCATCTGGAGGGTGTTTTGCATCTTCTCCTCCGCTCTCTTGGGGTAGCCTCGACTTTCCTTGATACAGCCGGTCTGTTGTGAACCGTGGTCCGCCCTAATCTGGAATATAGGGAGAAGAACATAAGGATAGTATTGCTTACCAGTGGGCCCATCTAGTCCAGCATCCTGTTCTCACAGCGGCTGACCAGAGGCTTGCAGGAAGCATGCTGCAAGCAGCGCATGAGTGCCAAACCACTCTGCTGTGGGATTTTTAAAGATGTTTCGTACACTGCCCTGACCTTTTATGACACGAGGGTACAGAAATAGTTTTACAACTTATTGTTGTTTAGTCGTTTAGTCGTGTCCGACTCTTTATGACCCCATGGACCAGAGCACTCCAGGCACTCCTGTCTTCCACTGCCTCCCACAGTTTGGCCAAACTCATGCTGGTAGCTTTGAGAACACTGTCCAACCACCTCGTCCTCTGTCGTCCCCTTCTCCTTGTGCCCTCCATCTTTCCCAACATCAGGGTCTTTTCCAGGGAGTCTTCTCTTCTCATGAGGTGGCCAAAGTACTGGAGCCTCAGCTTCAGGATCTGTCCTTCCAGTGAGCACTCAGGGCTGATTTTCTTAAGAATGGAGAGGTTTGATCTTGCAGTCCATGGGACTCTCAAGAGTCTCCTCCAGCACCATAATTCAAAAGCATCAATTCTTTGGCGATCAGCCTTCTTTATGGTCCAGCTCTCACTTCCATACATCACTACTGGGAAAACCATAGCTTTAACTATACAGACCTTTGTTGGCAAGGTGATGGCTCTGCTTTTTAAGATGCTGTCTAGGTTTGTCATTGCTTTTTACAACTTATATATATTAAATTGAAATACTGAAATTGAAATACTTTATTGTCACTTGTTCAACTTGTATACAGTGAGATTACATGTGCACCCCCCCTCAGCTCTCTTAGTCTTAATTCCCCTCGTTTACTGACGCACACCCACCAAACCCGAAAGTCAGTTGTCCTGTTGTTATCTTGTCATTCAGCAGCCTAACAGCCCATGGCTAGAAGCTGTTCTTTACCCTGTTGGTGCGACTAATCATGCTTCTATATCTTCTGCCCGAGGGCAGGAGATCAAGAAAGTGCAGGCCAGGGTGTGAATCATCCCTGAGAATTTTCCTCACTCTCCTGAGGCAACGTTCTTCCGCTATTTCATCCAGTGCATTCACAGGACAGCCCATAATATATTGTGCTATGTTCACCACCCTCTGTAGGCACTTCCTGTCAGTTGATGTCAAACCAGCCCAAGGTCACCCAGCAGCTGCATGTGGAGGAGCGGAGACGCAAACCCGGTTCACCAGATTACGAGTCTACCACTCTTAACCACTACACCAGATAACAAAAGCTAAGTGCCTACTGTGAGTTCTCTTATACCAGGCTTCCTCAACCTCAGCCCTCCAGATGTTTTTGGCCTACAACTCCCATGATCCCTAACTAGCAGGACCAGTGGTCAGGGATGATGGGAACTGTAGTCTTGAAACATCTGGAGGACCAAGGTTGAGGAAGCTTGTCTTATACAGTGAGACACACAAACGAGGAGCCTGGCTTCAAAAAAATAATACCAACCTATCACCCATATAGCTGTAGCAGGAACATCACAGGTACTGACTCCATACTGTGATGTGCATCAAAAGTGTAAAGGCAGTTCCCGATAGTGAAAATGCCAGCAGGGATCCATAGCTAAGGAATGTCCAAGGCGACAGATTTGGATGGTAGTGATGTTATATTCTGAGGACTGGCCACTTTAGATTTCATTTGCATGGGAAATGAGGAGCAGATGGGTCTCGTCCACCTGAGAAGGTAGCCCATCTAGGAGAAGGTAAATTCTGATCCCCTAAATGTTATGTACTGAGTTGAATAGGATCCAGAATGCAGCAGTCTGATTGGTCCTAGAACAATAGGATTCAGAATGCAGCAGTCTGATTGGTCCTAGAACAATAGGCTCCAGAATGCAGCAGTCTGATTGGTCCACAGGAGCCACCCAATCCAGCTCCAGGTGGAAGTGAATCCGCAACCTGATTGGCCTACAGGAGAATCCCAGAATTAGCCAATCACGTGGGGCCCATTGTGTAAATAATGTATATAAAGCAGACATTCTGGGGCAACTTCCATTCCTCCTGAACACTATGAGCTGAATAAAGAGCATGAAATCCACTCTCGACTCAGAGTATATTTCACTAAACCTGCACAGCCCTGAGGGATAACTTCGGGAAAAGAAAAGGCGAAGGAGTAAACCCTACACAAACCCAGAGTGGATTCCCTTAGATGGTTGGATGGTGCCTTGGACCAGCCTCCTTCTGGCAACTTCTACAGCCAAGCTGGTGCCAAACATATTGCTCTGCTTTCCTTTGGACCACATTAGCATTAGCCTTTCGGTTAGCCCCCAGGACCAGCACAGGGAGTCTTCTCAGGTGGGCATCCCAGGACCTCCATACACACTACCCAGGCTTGCACCCCAGGGAGGTCACTTTGGGGCTAACAGAGTTTTGACTTCACCCCTGGAGGTGCACTCCATTGTCTCTCGAGGCAGACAGAGGCCTACAATGTTTTGCATCAACCGACCTACAGAATTGCCGCCTGAAGTCTTTTAATACAATGTGTTCCCTTCTTGATAGGCAATGTGATTTTGCTGGTCTATGAAGGCATTCGTTGCTGCAGTTAAGTTTGATTTTTCACTTAGAAGTAAGTGGAAAATCAGTGGAAGAGAATTGCTACAGGTTGCTCACCTTTATTATGAAAAGATGCAAATCAAATATGGACTGATTCCCCTCCCCAATTATCTCATAGCTAGCAAACGTCAGCTCAGCACCCTGTAGAAAGAAATGCAGATGCAAAACTCTTTACAATGGCAGGTGGTTATTACAGCAGTGGAAATGGGTAATAATATATAAATGTGTAAAGGGCCTCATTTTGCAGTATATGAAAACATGTCAAACAAACTTTTGAAGCACTGAAAATGTTGAGAATTGCAGACTGATTGAAGATCACAATTGGCCAAAAGAAAAAAAGAAAATCCAAACACATTAAGATTATAAGGGGAACCATCATAGCTCATGGTGGAGTTTTTGTTTTAATTACAAGTATTCAATAGAACCTACCTGCCGCCCTATTGTAAACATACACAAAAAACAACTCAACCACCAAATAACAATTCAGTAGATAGCCTGACCCTTAAAACATGTTGCTGAAACATATTCCCATTGTCGGAACAATGGGGCCAGCACTAAACATATGAACAGTTTAGGGGGTGCAGCTTAACTCGGGAGGTGCTGGACTTTAGCTCCCAACAAGACTTGGTGCAATGCTGGCTGAGGCCGATGGGCAGTTGAAGTCTAACAACATCTGGGCAGTTACAGGTCTTTCCCCCTGATTTAGTGGCAGAATTTTGAGAAAACGCTGGTTAATGTTACAATGATAGAAGGTACAGTGGTACCTCGAGTTAAGTACTTAATTCGTTCTGGAGGTCTGTGCTTAACCTGAAACTGTTCTTAACCTGAAGCACCACTTTAGCTAATGGGGCCTCCTGCTGCTGCCGCACCGCCGGAGCACAATTTCTGTTCACATCCTGAAGCAAAGTTCTTAACCTGAAGCACTATTTCTGGGTTAGCGGAGTCTGTAACCTGAAGCGTCTGTAACCCGAGGTACCACTGTATTCAGTGTGCCTTGCTAGGAAGACCATTCAATGGGCGGTCAACTTCACCAGCCCTTAGGAAAGGGCTCCATTAAGAAACACATACCCCCAGTTAAAAATCAGTTGGCTGTAAGGCATGTACGAGTTTGTACATCCCAAGAACATGCTGGGAGGAACGTAAGGCTATCTGTTTGTATGAACAAGCTTTCTGGCTCCATCCTGCTTCCATCTTGGAGGGGGACACGCCACCAGCTAGCAGATATTATTTCTCTTTGTCAACATATTTGGCGCAGACTTTTTATTATTCCTGAAGCTGCCTCTGGGCACTTCTTCCTACAGCTGCCAGCCCTGTAGAGTTTTCTTCAGCTGTGTGGATAAGGAGAGGGTCCAGGTCTTTCTGAAATAATACAAATCTCTTAAAGCGACAGACATCCGCTCTAGAAGACAAACCGCACCTACATAACTCATCGTACTGCACATGCTTGTGTATGGAAGTCCACTGCAACTTCCACTATTTTTTTAAAAGAAAAACCTGTATGTATGTACCTCTGTGCAAATCCTGATAAATAAGACACAGAAAATAGCCGTTAAGTTTACTTGTTTCTAAGAACTTTTACTCTGTAAAATGTTTGGTCACTCAAAGCTATAAGCTTAAATCACATTATCAAAGAACACAGGCAGTTAAAGCCCATCTTTATATACCAAGAACATAGTTATCGGTACAAGCCAGATGAAAAATGGGTCACCCAATTCTCCTCTCAATTAAATGTCTTCAAAACATTAAACTTCCCCTCCACGTAGCAGAATAAAAACGGTCTGTATTAAAACCAGATTTTCCCCACCCTCCTTAAGTTGTCATTGAACCAGTCATATTACAGTGCAGAACTTTTGCCGGCTGAAGAAGTGTTTATTTTTTAAAAACTTTGGCACATCGTGGACAATCCAATCCTTGTGGCGTATTCCAGTCCTGGGGTTAGGTCTGTCCAGTTCTTTTCTTGCTTTCACAAAAGGACCACCATCATTCACAGTAAACCATAGATGACCAAGCCTGCCTCTCCCACCTCCCACCCGCCCGCCCCCAAAAAACTTGTTTCCCCCTTCATCACTTTGGGAAGCAAGGAAGGGTGGAAACTGTGCACCAGTCAAGTAAAAATCCCAAAACTTTTGTAACAGCAGTGGGTCACCTGCTATAACGATAAACCAGGAAAAAACAGATTTAGCAACTTGCTCAAATCTTTACTGGCAATTACCAAAGCACCATTCTCGTATTCTGAATAAATCGCAACACAGTAATTGCAAACTGCAAATCAGGATAAATAATATGCTTAGTGTACGTACAGGAAAAGCGGCAGCAGTTTCACGGAAGGAAAATCTGGGGACCCTTGAGGGGCTCAGTGCAATTCTCTCACCCTGTATTACACCCCAAAACACTTCCTAGGAAAAACAGCAAATTGCTGAGCAGAGTTTTTCCAGAAATTAGGAAGGAAGCCACTTTGAAAAAGAGCAACATAACAGGCAGCCCCACGCTTCATCTCGTCACAGTGCTGGTCGTCACCTCGCAACCTTGTGCTTGCGACGCTATCATTTTTCAATATTTTCCTTTTTAAGCGGAGTTGGGGAAAGCGGTGCTGTAAACAAATGCAAGCTGAAACAACATCCTACGGGTATCGTCAGCCAAAGAAGCTTTGCAAAACAAAACAAAACAAAACGCCACCCCCATTTAAAAAACAGGAATGCAAACAGAAACGGCATCACTACATTGGAGGGCTTATTTAATCAGTGCTAAAATGCTTTTGCTGCTGGAAAGGGAAGTTGCTTGGGTCCCACAACACACTTGAACAAAAATAGCAAACAAAAGAGATCTAGTATGAGCAGCCCCAGGCAACAGATCTCAAATATGGAGTTGATCTCTCTAGTGCAGAGTGGACAGTTCTTTGCGAGTTCCCCGTTGACTTCCAAACCCTCTCCAGTTTTGGTTGATGAAAGAAGCGAAGACATGGACCTCTCTACGTGGCATTTTATAATCTGTGTGCCCCTCTGTTAAACTTGCTCTTAAATTGGTGGTGATGCTTGAGGGACGGACATACATTGTCTCCTAATTTTCAAAAGCACCCAAAATGTCTTAATAGGTGGCCTGTAGTCTGTCTTGCCAACCAAGAGAGAGATTTGGACTCATCCTGCTTTCGGAACTGACTGACTACATTTTAAATACATAGGCCTATTCCCAACAGCTCAACACAGGTCCCTCCCTCTCTCTTGAGATGGCGAAGTGTGAAACAGCCTACAATTTAACAAACAAAAATTGCCGCTCATAAAGAAATGCCACCCTCGAGAGAATTTATTTCCTCTGGCATGCTGCCAGAACCAAAATAGCTTCAAAAACAAGTGCCAGTATCGATGTTCGCTTCAACTGAACTGGAGTGACAGAGTTGGAAGGGACCCAAAGTCTCTTAAGTCCCACCCCCTTAAAAGATGGCAAAATCCTTGTGATGGCTCGGTTTTAACTGCATCATTTTCACAATGCTCTTTTTGCAGATGTGTCCTAACGTGGAGACAGCAGGGGTTTTTTTTAACCATGCTGGGGGGGAGAGACCGAAGATCAAACCACCTGCTTCTGCTGTGAGGAGGGGAAATGTTTGTCACATGAAAGACTAAGGGGGAAAATAGTTTTGTGATTACCTTCCCACATTAAAAGCACAAAACACAGGAATCATGCCCTCTTGTGCCCTCTCCACAGAAACTGCCTAAGTTAGCACCCTGAACGGTGTCAAAACCACAACCACCAGCCCCTGCGCATAAAGCATTGAGAGAAGGGATTGGATGTTGAAAACAAGTGAAAATGAAACACTGGCTCCCTGTAAACCATGGTTTACACACCAGCAGCCAGTCTTTCTGAAGCAACTCTCCATGTCCCTTCCCTGACTGGCTTTAACCATGACTTAGCATTTCATATGTGCAGATAGAAAACAACAGTCCTCTCATAAACCACAGTTTGAAACGGTAGTTTGGAATGAGTCTGTCCTAAGGAAACCTGGTTAACTGTGTTTAACTATGGTCAGTGCACATGGAAGGTGCGGGGAGGAACACATATATTCGAGGCTGGTTTTGAAGTTGTAAACCATGGTTTGCAGGATGTTAGCACTGCCTCTGCATTGGACCATGCCCATTTGAAAGCTGGCTAATTTTGACAAATAATTCCAGTGCATGGTTTTTAAGCTGGCCTGTCAAACGTTTGGGAAAAGGCAGCTTTCTGGAGGCTAATACTGAACGCCACAAAGGATTCCTCCCCGGCAAGTTAAAGGAAATAAATAAGGTAAAGAACTGAACTGGAAAGAAGAATGCTTGGCTGCACTGCAAAGCTGCAGAAGTAATTGGCTGCCTGAATTAGTTACCATGAAGTCTGGTTCAACTAGCTGTGCAAATTCGTCTGCTCGAGCTACAACTGCAAAGGAAGACAAATGAGGCAACGCGGAACCACACAGGAGATTTAGCCACACACCCAGTGCTGGAAAGGCAGGAAATGTCACAATTTCAAACCGTGTATGAATTCAAACACTGGCAAAGCAAAAGGGGTGTAAAAATAAACCCGAAGTGTTCTTGTCTGGATCTCAGACTGCGCTCTCTCTCCAGCTTGCAAACCTGTTTCAAAGTCCCTAAATGTCCCGGGAAACTGTAAGCTCCCCTGTTAACTCATCTCCACAGAATTTGCAGGGCAATGTTGCTGGACCACAAGAAGGGTCAAGGAGACAGGCCGCTGGTTCCTTTGTTGTGTTCTTTTTGCTCTATGCCGCTTAAAGCACAGCACACAAGACACCTTGGGTTCCAGCTGCCCTTGTCTGCTCAGTTTGCCCGGTTGCAGGATTACAGACCCAGAGCAAGTTCCGCTAGCTGAGCTGCTTTGCTTGGTCTTATATTATACTGGGTGGGGGACTTCAAATCCACGAGTTCCTTGATAGAGGGAATTTGGGAACCACTGTTCTTCTCAACCAAGAACTGGCAGTTCCCATCCAGCTCTTGTCATTATTCCCATTCAACTCCTTACACCCGTTTTGTGCCTGGCAGAAAGCAAATGGTGCCCCTTCTAAGCTGGCAAATGGCCTTCCGCCAGGGAGGTTAACCTGAAAATGGTGGCATATCTTGAATTATTGGAAGAAACTCGGAGGACCATCTAGTTCAGCCTTTCTCAACCTGTGGGTCCCCAGATGTTGTTGAACTACAACTCCCATCACCCCTAGCTAGCAAGGCCAGAGCTCAGGGATGATGGGAGTTGTAGTCTGGGGACCCACAGGTTGAGAAAGGCCGAACCCCCTGCAATGCAGGAATATGCAGGCATTCCTTACAAGGATCAGACCTGCAAACTTGGTGTTATCAGCATCACGTTCTAACCACTGAGCTACCATGACTCACAGGATGCTTTTTGGCGGATAGACGGGATGCCAGCTGCGGCTTTCCAGATGTTGCTGAACTACAACTCCCATCATCCCTGACCATTGGCCATGCTGCCTGGGGCTGATGGGAGTCCCAACAATATGTGTTCTACAGGTTGTGCAGGCAGATTCTCCCCAGTCCAAGTTGCTTGATGGTGTGATGGGTGGGAAGAGTCACAATGGAGTAGAGGAGATGATGTCTAGGTTGGGAACTGCCAGGCTCCCCCAGGCTAAAGTATTTGGCCATTGCTCTTTAAAAACCAAGACGGCTGTTGTGTTGTTGTTTTTTTTAAGCTTTGCTTTTTTCCTTAAAGAAGCCTGTGATACATATTTTTAGGGAACCTTTCTGTAAAGAGGCAAGCCATTATTGTTAGCGATTTCAAAAGAACTGCACGGTCAAAGACAAGTTTTGGTATTGGCTGCATTAATCGTATCTAGTATTTAAATATGATATACACTGATTAGTTTTAATATAAAAGCATACTTCCAACCCAAGCTCCCTGAACACAGCTAGAGAGACACATTCAATAGGACTTCTGTAAACCTAGCACACAGGCTTCGGATGTAACAAAGGTACTCCTTTTCCTCTATTGTCCTAAGAAAACACACAAAAACCGCAAGCCATCCTCACACGCTTTTGCTGCTATTTGCCCTTTGGTATCCTTTACCCCCAACCCATCTTGTTTTTCTCTGGAAAAATAAAATAAAATTGTCCTTCTGCTCAGAGGAAGGAAAATAGACATGCCGTTTTGCAACACGAAGCACGTTTTTCAAACATCGTTTTGCAGTTAATTTTCCTACTGTGGTTAAGAGGATTCTTTATTTTATTTTTTTAAAAAATCATCTGCACCCTTAAAGGATTTTTGGAATCAAACATAAGGCCATTAAACCAACAGTCCCTTATGTGGTGCAGCCTAGCCAGCAGAGATGTGGAGGAGAGCCAAATTTGTAAATTCCAAATCCCGGAACTGCTTGTTCACTTCGGCCAACCAAGGAGCAAATATGCGATTGCTACAGGAGTCAATGACTCATTTCCCCCCTTCCAAAAGTGGAGGGAATCTATAGGGGCCACCAGGACTGGAGGGACAGCGTCAATCATTTGGCACCGCACAGCCACGCCCCACGACAAAAGAACTGGAACCTCAGTCTGATTTCGAGAGCTTACGTCGAACGTGTCGAGGAGGCTCCCAGTTGTCGCTGTCGTCTGTTTCTTCGTCCTCCTCAGCCTCACCTTCGTCTTCGTCGTCCTGCTCTTCCAATGTCTCCTCCTCGTCGTCTTCCTCCTCAAACAACTCAAGGCCTAAGTCGGCTCTCCTCTGCTTCTCCGCAAACCACTCCCTGACCTGCTCGTATCCCATGTGCGATTTGGCCACCAGCTCGTCAAGGTCCTGCTCGTTAAGGAATTTGTGTTTCAGGTAATAATCCTTCAGGATGGCTTTTCCAGTTTTAAATTTGATGATCGGCGTCCTGTCCCAAGGCCTGATCCGTTTGTTGGCCCTCGGCCGCCCACGGGGCCTTCCCCTCCCTCGGCCTTTCGGCCGTCCTCTCCCCCTCCGCCTCGAATAGCCTTGGCCATTCATACCGCTCGCGTCGGCCCCTTGGTAGTAGTAGTACCATTTCAAGCCGCCATTTTTCCAGGCGTAACGCGTGTCTCCAAACCAGCTAACGATTTCTGGCCGGGGGAGCTTGGTCTCTTCTGCCAACTTGTCGTATTCCTCCGCGGACGGCCACTGCGTCCGGACGAAGGACATTTTGAGCATGTGCAGTTGTTCCGGCGACTTCTTAGACAGCTTCCCTGACTTCTGGGCTCCAGTTCCTTCCCCACCACAGGCCTCAGCAGATGCTTCCTTTAAGCTTCCTGAATTACTTTCGGCCAATTCCTCGCTTTCGTCCTGCGGAACGTTCGGTTTCTTCTGTTCCGAAAACCAAGCGTCAATCTCCCGCCTGGTCAGCTTGGTCTCCGACCGTATCCTGTTCAGTTCATCGTCTGTAAGAGCAGGGTTGTTGTGGAAACTGTCTTGGAGGACCTGCAGTTGCTCGGCAGTCTTCTCCTTAAATTTCTGGGGGCTGAGGTCAGAGGCATTCCACGACTGTTTCTGCTGCGGCTGCACCAGCGCTGAGGGCTCGTTCGTCTCGTCGCTCGAGTCAATCACAATGGTGCAGGAATCGTTGTTGAGATGGTTATAGTGGTTGTGCTTCGAGTTCCTCTGGTTATACCGGGTGTCACTGAACCACTTCTTGATCTCCCCTTTGGTCAGGCCCGTCGCTTTCATGAGCCGAATGATCTCGGAATCCAGAGGGAAGTGGCTTTTCAGGTAGCTGATCTTCAGCGCCGTCAGCTGCTCCTTGGTCTTCTTCGTACGGCCCCCGACCACGTCCACGTTTGCCGCCGCCACCACCTCCGATTTGGTAAGCTGAGGGGCCGGGACGGCAGCCACCTGCTTGGTTTCGGTAACGGGCTGAGTCGCTTGCACCTGCGCTTTCTGCAACTGGGCCGGGTTCGGGACTCCGGCCACCGTCAACGCGATTGGGGCAGTCACCGGAAGCGTGCCAGCGCCCGTGACTTGCGTAAGCACCAGGCCCGGCTGGCCGACTATTTGGCAGGTCTGCAGAATGGAAGGCAGGCCGTTGCCGGCTGCCGAAATGTGTGCCGGGATGACCGTAATGGTCTGAGGGACAGTGTGCACGGTGCCATTGAACTGCTTCCTCCTTGCTTCCTCCACCTCCTCCGGTGTCCAGCTGACGCCGTGCTTCAGGCGCTGGGCAGAGAACCAGATTTTGATCTGCTCCTCGGTGTATTTTGCTTGCGTGGCTAGAAGTGCAATTTCAGAGACTGTCGGGTACGGGAACTTGTTGTAGGTGTTGAGCAAGAGGGGGTTGTTATCCAAAGCCGTGTTATAGGTCGGAATGCTATTGATAGGGATCAAGACTTTAGAAATCAAGTTTGAGTTCTGCGGAGACGTCATGGTCGTAATCACTTGCGCAGGCTGGATCACCGTCGTGGGGTTCACAACCGTGCTAATGGTTTCCGCCGCCAGTGAATTACTTGGGTTGGGGTCCAAAGCGGTAGGAGCCGGTTTCTCTACGATCTCCTCACACTCTGGGTCCGACTCGGCGTCCTTCTCCTCTGCGGCACCATCCTCTGCCGCGTTGTGGAACATGGCGATCCGCTTCGATTCGTTCTTATTCTTCATCCTTTTCATAATTGGGGTTTTGCTGATTGAGATCCCCGACAAATGGCCCTCAGAAGCTTCCGACTCCTCCGCTTTCTCCTCCTGGACGAAACTCCCATCGAAAGTGAGGTCGTTCACTGTCTGCTCAAAGACGGTCTGGTTGTTACGCTTCACCATGGTGAGCTTAAAGTTCTCCTCTCCGGGGTGGTATTTCATATTGTGTTCCGAAAGGGCGTCATACCTCTTGGTGACGAATTTGCACTCAAGACAGACGTAGGAGGAGCTCAGCACGATGGTCGGGTGCTCAGAATCCACGTGGAAAGTAAACATATTGAGATCTGGAGTCTGGAACGTACAGTACTTGCATTCATAACCCCCTTCGACTTTTTTTTTTTGCTGATTGTCCGAGTCTGCATATTCTTGAGAGTCTTCGTCACTCAAGACGCTCCCCGCTGGCGTGATCGCAGCCGGTCCTTCCTCCACGTCAGAGACCACCTCCAAATCTGGGTCTGGCTCACTTGCTAAGACCATGCAGGGCGTAGTGGATTTCCGTTTACTTGCCATTCTGCTGCGGCGAAGAGACTTGGCAGGTTTGAGTTGACGCGGCTCCCGCTCCGAGTCAAGCTTCCTGGAGGATTGTGTTACGATAATGGCTTTTGGTTCTCCGTCATCGCATGGCAGGTTCTCAGCATTATTCAGCCCGTTAGCAGCATCTCTGTAGTGCAACAAGGCAAGACGGCGACTTGCAGTGCAAAGGATAAAAGGACAAGCAGCAGCTTCTTAACTTCGGCGTCTACCACCTGCATTTAGAAAGAAAGAAAGAAAGAATTTTAAAATGCATTGCTTCCGTTGTGTGAAACCAAATGCCCTTGTAGCTCTGGAATTATATCTTCCTGCTGACCCTTTCAATCCATTTCGGTTCAGCCCTACCATTACAATTTGTTGTATTTGTTTTATGGATTTTGCATTGGAGCCCAACGTGGCCATACTTAGAGCAGACCCACTGAAATGAATGGGGCTTCAGGGATGACTCAACGGGACTAACGTAAGGTTACCAGACGTCCCTGTTTCCCGGGGACAGTCCCTGGATTTACAGATCAGCCCCCATGCAAAATCTATTGAAGTTGAAAAGTGTCCCTGGATTCATTGAAAAAAATCTGGTAACTGTAGACTAACGCCCCCTTGATTTCAACGGACCTACCTCCAAGTATGCGTAATGTATTTTTATTTTATTTATTTATTTATTACAGTTGTACAGTCGTACCTCAGAAGTCCAATGGAATCCGTTCCAGAAGCCCATTTGACTTCCAAAATGTTTGGAAACCAAAGCGCGGCTTCTGATTGGCTGCAGGAAGCTCCTGCAGCCAATTAGAAGCTCTGTTGCATGTTTAGCTTCCAGAAAAACGTATGGAAACCGGAACACTCACTTCTGGGTTTTGATCATTTGGGAGCTGAGACATTCAAGATCCAAGGTACAACTGTATACCGAACTTAGTCCGAAGATCTCCGGGCGGTTTGCAGCATAAAAATACAAAACACAAACAAAAACCAACCAAACCAATAACCCCTCCTCACACAAACACATTTAAAAGGACATAGAATGTGAACTCACTGAAATAAAAATCCAGGCATAGATTATGCTTCAGATACCACCCCACCCCTTTCGACCATTTGTTTAGCATAATTTCCAGCTAGATTATTTCTCTCTCATCAGTACTCGCAAGTCCAGATCCAACTCTTTAGCTACTGTTTTATTAATATTAGCAGCACAGTAAGCTGCCTTATGCAGAGTCAGATCAATGAGCCATTTAGGCCAGTATTGTCTGCACTGACTGGAAGCAGCTCTCCAAGATTTCAGACACATAGTCCTTCCCGGCCCTACCTGGAGATGCTGCAGATTGAACCCAGTGCAAATGATGTGTTCTACCAGTAAGCAATGGCTCTGTTATGCTCTGCATCCTCCTTGAATGCTTTGTCTGGCTGGAATCTGTCCTTGACACAATGATAAGACCTCTTGGGTTGCCAGGACAGCAGATAGTGAGCAGTGTGCGAGTGGGTGTAGCAACCAGCCTTGTGCACAAGGATAAATCTTACATTAATTACTTCCCCCCACTTTTGCTCTGGCCCAAGCCCCTGCTTCCTGCCAACCTAGCAGTTCGAAAGCACGTCAAAGTGCGAGTAGATCAATAGGTACCGCTCTGGCAGGAAGGTAAACGGCCGTTTCCGTGCACTGCTCTGGTTCGCCAGAAGCGGCTTAGTCATGCTGGCCACATGACCCGGAAGCTGTACGCCGGCTCCCTCGGTCAATAAAGCGAGATGAGCGCCGCAACCCCAGAGTCGTCCGTGACTGGACCTAATGGTCAGGGGTCCCTTTACCTTTACGCCCCTGCTGGCAAGTTTGCCTAGAGAGTAACTCAGTCCTTGGACTAAATAAATAATTTAGGGCCATGTTTCCCAAACCTGGGTCTCTTTCTCCTTTTGGACTACAATTCCCATCATCCCTGACCACTGCTCTTGCTAGCTAGGGGTGATGGGAGTTGTAGTCCAAAAACTGCTGGAGACCCAAATTTGAGAAACATTGATTTAGGGCATTTTCCCCAAACCAAACTGCTGTACCGCTCAACATCTTGCAAACTCCTTCTTCTTCACATATGCTCCATGTCATGTATGTATAGGAATCAGAACAGTAAAGTAAAAAAAATACCCTGTGGGTTCATAACTTTTGCAGGCTTGTTTGCAAGAACCAGTCACCAATTTTTCATCTAAAGCCTTACTCCTCTACTGCCACAAAATGGTTAATATGCAAGATAAAGTGACCAAACTCCTAATTGTCACAATTTCTACTTATACAGAAAGTGATGCTTAGTACTTTCAATATGAATCTGTATCGACTAGATGCTGTTTGCAGGTCAGTTTTTGGACCGATGTATGCATGAAACCAGGGATGCGGGTGGTGCTGTGGGTTAAACCACAGAGCCTAGGTCTTGCCGATCAGAAGGTCGGCGGTTCGAATCCCACAATGGGGTGAGCTCCTGTTGCTTGGTTCCTGCTCCTGCCAACCTAGCAGTTCGAAAGCACGTCAAAGTGCAAGTAGATAAATAGGTACTGCTCCAGCGGGAAGGTAAACGGCGTTTCCATGCGCTGCTCTGGTTCGCCAGAAGCGGCTTAGTCTTGCTGGCCACATGACCCGGAAGCTGTACGCCGGTTCCCTCGGCCAATAAAGTGAGATGAGCGCCGCAACCCCAGAGTCGGTCATGACTGGACCTAATGGTCAGGGGTCCCTTTACCTTTACCTATGCATGAAACCAAGTACTGATTTTAGACATCTGGAATCTGTGTATCTGAAGAAGTGTGCATGCACACAAAAGCTCATACCAACAACAAACTTAGCTGGTCTCTAAGATGCTACTGTAAGAAATTTGGAAGTTGGGGGTGGGAGGAGGAGGAAGAGGGGAAACGGTTTCAAGAAACTCACTATATAAGCTAGGAGCCAAATGGCTCCTTAAACTAAGGTTACAGTCACCAAAACTGGTTGTCTAGTTGCCATTTTGGGGCTAGATGGCTCTAAAGTCTTATTTTTCAAATGGTGGACTGACTGTGATGGATTCTCAGCTAAACATCTGGCTAGTTCAGACAACCTTGAGCTAAGTTAAGAACTTTGAGAACTTAAGGAAGAAAAGTCACTTGATCCAGGGACAATCCACATAAACATAGATATTGGCCTATTCCGACCTCTTTTTCTTAATGGTGACACAGATCATTCATAACCTAAGAATATTCTTCACAACTGTGAGCAGGGCAGTAGGATGGGGTAAGTGAAGACAAGCGACAACAATTAACTATAACGTTGTTCACTGCTCTTGCTTAGGCTGCACAGGAAAAAGCTTCTTGGTTCCTGAAATTCATTCTGACTGTGCAGATAAAACATAACTTCTACAGGATGATGTCAGGTAAAGGTAAAGGAACCACAGACCACTAGGTCGAGTCGTGACCGACACTGGGGTTGCGGCGCTCATCTCGCTTTATTGGCCAAGGGAGCCGGCGTACAGCTTCCGGGTCATGTGGCCAGCATGACTAAGCCGCTTCTGGCGAACCAGAGCAGCGCACGGAAACGCCATTTACCTTCCCGCCGGAGTGGTACCTATTTATCTACTTGCACTTTGACGTGCTTTCGAACTGCTAGGTTGGCAGGAGCAGGGACCGAGCAACGGGAGCTCACCCCGTCGTGGGGATTTGAACCACCGACCTTCTGATCAGCAAGTCCTAGGCTCTGTGGTTTAACCCACAGCGCCACCTGCGTCCCTGCCACAGGATGAGGTATTGGTGTGTAAAAACAGTAAAGATCCAAGGATCACCTCCAGATGGTGGAGATGTCAGGCCCATCCTGACACCCAGGCATCTTTACTTGGTCGCAAGTGGCCAACAAACAGATGCAAAATGAGTGCTCTAACGCCAAGTTATTGTTCCTTCCCTAACAGGAGGAAGGGCATGAATTTGGGCAACTGGTGATGGCTCTGAACCAACCATCCAGAACTCTCTTCCAACCTTCTGCCAAGAGAAGTGGTTCAGGATAATTCGACAAACAGATGAATAAGGCATTCTCATTAGATTTCTGTTATGGGGCAGCAGACAGATGGCACAGAACAGTGGTTCCCAATGAGTTTCGTACTGCGAACCCCGTTTTCCAAAGGCTGAGCCATGGATCCCCCCTGCTTTTGAAAATGTTGGTAGTTTTTGTTATGTGAATGGTGCCACCATCCCTGCCAACCTGTCCCAGCGCAATACTGGGCTGTGCGTTTTCCAGACCACATGCCTGCGTTAGTCACATAACACGTGTTTTTTGGGCACTGCAATCTCACACAAGATGCATGTCTGGCTGCAATTTTGCACGTTTGGGGGTGCTGTGCTTATCCCCCAAAAAAGGATGTCCCGGATAGTTGACAGGTATGTGCCATGTGGTTCCCCTGGGTGGGTTACATGCCGTGTTAGAAACTCAAATATATAGGCTCATCACCAAATGGCAGCTGAAACCTAGGTTGTGGTTGCCACAATGGTATGACTAGGTGCCATTCCTGCCCTTCACCCACCGATGTGTTTCTTATTATTTTTATTAATTTGATTTCTATACCACTTTATATTTTAAAGACTAAAATCTCAACAACAAAAAATCCTTGGGGTCCGCACCATCAATTGGGAACGACTGTCCTAAGTTCATCTAATCAGGACCTGCAGATTAGATAATTTCACTGTACCACTTTAGAGATACCAAACTGCAAAGCTCACACTCTTGTTTTATATAATAAAAAATATTAAAATAATTGTCCAGTAGCACCTTAGAGACCAACTAAGTTTGTTCTTGGTATAAGCTTTCGTGTGCATGCACACTTCTTCAGATTCACACCTCTTCAGATGCACACTTCTTTCATGCACACAAAAGCTTATACCAAGAACAAACTTAGTTGGTCTCTAAGGTGCTACTGGACAATTTTTTAAATGTTTTAATATATTCAACTGCGTCAGACCAACACGGCTACCTGACCCTGTTTTATTTCACTGGATGCATCTGACAACACAATGGTTGGTTGAAATGTGAGAGACCCAGTCGGAAATGTAGGTGGGCCTCAATGGGAGGTGGGGTGGGTGGGTGTTTTTCCCATCAAGTTCCGTGGCAAATGTCCAGCATAGCCCCAGAGGTCAAGCAAAGCCCAATATTCAATCTGTGTTCCTTCCTCTATACAGGGGAAGCCTGTGGTCCTTCAGATGTCATTGAACCACAACACGCAGCTGCTCCAGCCAGCATGGCCAATGGTCAGGGATGCTGGGAGAGGGAGTCCACCAACATCTGCAGGGCCAAAGGTTCTCCATCCCTGATCTAGAGCCTCCCCACTTATATCAAAGCAAAGGAGAGCATTTCATTCAAACAGTGATTAAGGATGCCCAGTGATTTGAGGCTACTGGGTTCACTGAATGCACTCATTTTTAACACCTCCCTTTAGAAGCATCCACAATTCCTAAGATTCCCCGTGGAGACTCTTACACTCTGGGACCTGTAGCTTTGTGGTGGTGGGGGAACAGGGGTCTCCTAACAATTCTCAGCACCCATAACTACAGCTCCCAGAATTCTTGGGGGGGGGGGGGAAGTCCTGACTATTTAAAATGATACCATAGTGCTTTGAATTGTATGGCGTCAATGTAGCCTTGGAGTAAACAATAGTCAGATGGACCAATGGGTCTGACTCCTATGTTGTTGTGTTTTTTTAAGGGGGTTCCTGTGTTGATTGAAGAAGGGGACAGGAAGGCAGAATGGGGTGTCAGGAAAGGGTTAGGGAAGTGAATTTGACAGCAGAGTTCTGGGAAGAAGTGGCAGATGCACAACAAGGGAAGAGAAAAAATATCAAGGCGAGAGATGATAAAAGGTTTTAGCTGACTGGGTAGGCGGCTAAGGAACCCCCAAAGCTAAACCAGCCCTAGCAGCAAAGCGCTTATTGCTGAGTTCAGGTGTTCTTACGGAAGCCTAGGGGATTGTCTGCAATTATAAACTTATTTTAAGTCTCCTTAGAGACTCCAGCGCTACATCCATCTGTTCTTGGGGGCAGGAGGAGGAGCGTCATCCAGCACAACGACAAGGGCAGAGATATTAGGCAGCCTGAAAAATAAAGATTTTCATGTGCTCGCCGTACAAATGGTGCTGTAGTGTAGATTTAATTCTAGTCAAAAGGAAAGAGAACTCTGCAGGCTCACGCGCAATTCCACAAACCTCCAAGTAGTTAACCAAAGAGGACAACTTGTTCACGCAAATTGGGCCTCTAAATCCTACGATTCCTGTACGCTTTCGTACAGTGGCTAGATGCTGGGAGGTCAGATTTAGAGGTTCAAATCCTTGCTTACCCATAAGGCTGAATACGCTTGAGCAAGCCGGGCTTACCTCACCCTCAAGAGAGTTGTTGCAAGATCGCCCCAGATTCCACCCTGGAGGAATGGTGCAGCACAAATGTGACACATTTAATTTGGCTCGTTTAAATTCCCGGTAGCCTGTTGGTCAACACACACATACAGCTATGCTCCCCCCTCCTTGAGCCACTCCCTCCTCAATGTATGTTGTAAGGGGCAAGTTAAAAACACAAAACGCTCCCTTACTCCCAACCTAAAATACACACACACACACACGGTTATCTGTGCAATCTGTGCTAGATAAAATAATTGCACACTGTGTTTTTTTCAGGGCAAATGCTGAGAGAAATGGAACTGTCAAGAATCATTACAGGATTTGGGGGTTTTGTTTTGTTTTTTAAGTTAAGAAGCTCTCTCTTTTTCACCACAGGGCCCAAATTTTGACTACCACCTTCACCTCTCCGCTACCCAGTTTCCTAACTCCTTCAGAAGCACCATAAAGCCAAAACACCACATGCACCCCTCAAACAATAGAGGCCAGGAGTACTGGCCAGAAAGCCACAACAAATATCGAAAGATTGCCACCTATCTTTCCCAACAATAATATTTATTTTCCATTTGCGATGAGAGCCATCACTTCAATGTGGTTTTATTATTATTTCTAGTTATATTTCCCCAAATGATTTATCCTCCTAATTAGAGCAACCCTCGTTTTCTCACACAGTGCCACACACAAAAATTAAAATAACATAGAGGGCCACCAAGCAGAAAACAGGGTTTCTCATTTCCTCGCCCCACGACTCCAAAAGAGTGTTTTTTTAAAGATCTGAGGGACAGGAGAGGCCAGCTTGCATCTCCTAAATGCTAGCTTCGTAGGCGATGACTGTGGGACTGCTGGATGGAAGAAGAAAACGCTTTTGTAACTTAGCCCATCATTTATTTCTTTTTAAAGTCTGCTGGCCTTTTCACGCCTGTAGGGACAGCCGCCCCCACCCTCACCCCTCTCGCCATCCCGCAACACTCACCCGGAAGATTATTAAAGATCGAACAAATCCCTACCTTGCAATATTTTGCAAGCAGCTTTTAGAGACCTCTGCATTTCTGCTTCTTCAGTGCAAGTCCGCCATCTTGCATTTAAAAAAAAAGAGAAAAACCTACTGCACTTTTTAGGGGGAGGAGGGGTAAGCGATGCTTTGTGAACTTTGAACTGGAAGCCAGCACTTTAAAGAATAAGACTTTAAAAATAAAATAAAAATAAAGCGAGAGAGCAGCCCACCGCCCTCGTTCACTTTCCCCCCATGCAGCATGAAAACTAGAGGTTCGTTCCTCCCCCTCCCTCTACACCCGATGACATCAATAAATATTTTCTATTTAAAAAAACAATAAAAGTGGAGGGGGGAGGGAAGCGCCGCAGCAAACTGCGAATGCGTGCAAAAAGTCTCACATTCGCCCATAGGCAACCCAGATAAAGGAGCCGGAAGGAACGGCGGAGAAAGGGCGGAGCCAATGGAAACCCTGCAAGAAACTCTCCCCCCACGCCTTCAACTCCTCCCCCTCGGACTGTGGGAAACGAGGGAGTGGGTGGGGTCACAGCCCCAAGTTGCAAGCTGCGGACCCAACAGAAAGCAACCCTCTGATTGGCCCCGGAGAGACTAGGCGCTGGCCATAGGGAATCGCGCCGCGAGGGCAGGGGAGGGTGAAAAGCGGAACAGCACATGACATTATTTTTTACTTAACGCACCTGCGTTATTTGCGCCACCCTCTTACGCACATGCACGAGGATCTGCATTTTAAGTTTCTGAAAAGGAGGAGTGCAGCGGTTCAGGCTTTTCTGGGAATTCGCGAGCTGCTGTCTAGGGTGGTTAAAAAACAAAAAACTGGTGGTGGGAAAGCGCTCTGCTCCCGCTGGCTGGCGATGAGCGCCCTGCTTTTTCTATATTCCATAGAATTGCAGAATGCAGGACTCTGTTGGTTGTCAGCCGCAGCAAAAATCTGGTCGGGTTTTGTTCCAGGTTCTAGTATTGTTGCTCAAGAGGAAAACACTACTGGCTTTCCCCACACCATGCATGTTATATACCTTTCATGGCTCCTTTTTTCTCTACTAAAAAGTCCCCAGTGTAGCCTTTCTCTAGCTGCTTTTTTTCTATTGCATCCCCAATGTAAATAAAAACCCAGGCAGAAATACTAATAGTATCCATTGGCAATTATCAGCTGACACCAAGGAATTTGGCTGCAGAACAGGGGAGGCAATATTTGGAGATCCCTCCCTGCTGTGCCCCACACCACACCCCTTCTAAATCTGTGGAGTCCCCCCAATCTCAAGAAGGTATAGGGCCCCCACAGGATGATTTGCTAAAAATCACCTCTCCCCATTCCACTGATAGGATTGTTTTCCATCAGCTCATAGGCATCACATCTAAAGTTCAAAGCTTAACTGTTAGGCCTACATCTGATTTCTTTTTCAAGGAAGTGTAAGATCTGAACTTGTAAGACAGGAAATGCCTTAAGATACACCTGTCTTCCTATGCTTTCTACACATTTTCTCAAACTAGGACTGATGTTTCATGTGGTGCTCAGACACAGCACAAGTACAGCATATACAGAGAGCGTATTATATATGAGTGGCACAAAACTGCCATTTATCCCTTTGGCTAATGTGTTACCATAAACCAATCAGGCAAGGACACATACGCAAGTGGGATGAGTTTAAATTTCATGCCACTCCTCCAAAAAGTCTTCTTCATTCAAAAACAAACTCCAGCTTCCACCAGACTCATGGGGAAAGCTTGGGGGGGGGGATGACAAGCATCTGTCTAGCAGGGTTTTTTGTGTGTGTGCGTGGCTACTACTAAGCTCCATCACTGCTGCTTGAGCTGTCCCTGCCAAAACCCAAAGCTCCCTCAAACAGGTGCTCTGGAGAGAATTGTCTCATCTAGCCTGCCAAGCAGATGTTGTTGGGACAATGTCCCCCACCCAAATTCAAAGGTACTTCTGTCGTAACATAGCCATGGAGAGAAGAGCAAGTGACTGGGTGCTGCCTGTCACTGAGGCAACTAGCTTGCCTAGAAGCAGGAGCTTTAAAGCACGTGGGACTTGAGGTCTTTCCCAGAAGAAAAAGACTTAAAGGATCCTGCCTAAGGCAATTCACAACAGTAAAAGCAAGGTGGGGGAGGGAAGGGGGGAAGCTAATAAGAGCTGGGATTTATGAAAAAAGAGAAGCTACAAACAGGAGAAAACAAAGAAGGGATTAATCCATGTCTTAAGCTGTAATAGTGACTTTAAAAAGGTATGCCAGTCAACTTTTTTTAAAGAGTACAGAAATTTATTTTGTCCATTAAGATTTAACATATTCATATATTATACAACATGAGATTACAGATTGTATTAACACGAGAATTAGTGCAGTGATAGAAATATAGATTGTGTTAAAAACTTGAGGAAATAAGAATACTAGAATGTCCCATCACTCGTTTAAAACCCATGTGAGATTTTAGAACACCAACTATATATTTTTTTAATAGCGGTTCAACATATATACATGATTTAATTGAAAAACATTTTGACATAAATTAGCATGTATTCATTTTACAGAGAAAAGTGGTGTAATGTGTGTAGATATTTTCAAAACTTTAATGAAAACTTCCACCAAACTTCTTTCTTTAAAGAACACACATTAGCACCACAAAGTTACAAACTTATTTTCAAAGAGAAGAAAAAAACCCCAAGCATATTGTATGAAGACTGTTAGGGTGGACAGATCACTTGCATTCTTTAGTTCTTTCATCCAGCTTGTTCAATGTCTATGGCTTTTACATCCATATTGAGTTGAATCAAGAACATTTAGGCTTCGTTATATGCAGGTATTTGATCCCAAATTAATAGGGGATAACATTTCAAACAAGAAGATTTCATTAGCAGATTTAGGTAAAGGCTGCTATTTCTCTTGTCATTTCCTGAAAATGAATAATAGCATCAGTCACAAAACCGAACAGAATTTTATTAGGTACTTTTCTCCAAAATGAATTTGTAACCTAATTATATTCTCCAGATGTGATGTTTGCAGATTTACATTGTAAGCTTTCAATGCAAAGAGCAGTCTCATCTATTGTATTTCAATTTAAGGTGAGGAACGGGAAAGTGTATTTTAGGCTTCATACACGTATCAAAATAAAACATTGTTAATAGCTTACTGTGAATGCACAGATTTGAGTCACTTTCCCCCCACATGCTAGGGGTGGGGGGGAGCAACAAATACCAGGAACCCTGTTTCATTTATCACACAAGCTAGCAGGCAGGAGCAAAGTAGGCTAGATCACTGGACTTTAGTAGTTATGTTGTGCTTTACATTATGTTTGAACTAATTGCTCTTTTATAATACATTAAGGCCTAACACTTTTCACCAAGAAAAGAAACGCCATGGTGCATCTGTAGCAGCACAACTGGACGCCTTCACCTGCCCCACCTATGACAAAAGATGTCTCTCTCACATTGGTCTCTACAGCCACAACAGGTGCTTCAACCTTCCAACACCTTGACCTCACCCCCAAAGGCACACTCCTCCACTGTTACAAGACACAGATGAATGCCAATGCCAATTTTACACCCCCGCATTCAAAATCTTTGGTCCATATTGTCTAGAACAGGATATTTAACAGGGGCAGAGTGGTGTGTCTGTGCATATGAAATACAAAATGCTTATTTAAAAAGCAGTCGTATCTCCAGTTCTCAGTGATGCTTTAAAACTGAGGAGAATCTGTGGTAATGGAAAAGCATCCGCAGGGAAAACCCAACTGCCATGGAATAACCCATCACATAAGGACACGATATATGCTAATCTGAAAGGTACTATAGAAGCCAACAGTTTGACATACGTAGATTGTAAGTAACACAAACATCTTAAGAAAAAACTGGCATGAATGACTATGACGTCAATTGAAAATTGCAACATGGAGTCAAATGCTTCAGTATATTTGTGAAGTTTGACTTAATCTCAGTCTGCATACAAAAAGGACATTAAAACAGACTAATAGAATAGTCACAAACTTAATGTAAAACACAACAAATTGAAGTGTCTTGGTATCTATAAAGCAATGCAATTGGATCACAAGAAAACACCCGTTAACATATCATACCTGCAACAATTTGGTTTTGTCATAGTCCTTGCGATGTCGATAAATACACTGGCTGAGCAAGGCATAAAGTTTTTCCAACTGAAGTATAGTGTAGTTCCTACTTTTCTCAGTAACAGTTTTCAGCAATTCCTGGAAAAGATGAGTTTAAAACAACAACAATCCTTTTTCTTTATTCTCTTAACCACTGATTGTACAGTGTTGTAAAGAACACATTGAGACATGAGGTACAATGCAGAAGTCAAAGTGGCTGGTTTGTATAAGCATGATGTATCTGAATTTCTCTATTCCCATCCACATGGCTACAAGCTCTTTAAAATTTAAATTCCAACTTGGGTCCAAGAAATACTAAGCATGCATGAATTTCAGTTCACTAGACTAACAACAATGTCTTAACAAATGAGTTACAGCATTTATTTTCCAGCTGGGAATTGGAGCTCATTAGCAACAAAATACTACTTGAAGATAATTTAAAATAAGTTAATTGCTCAACTCATAGAAAAGAATTTTCTGCCAGTTTTTGCCATATTACCTGCCCCAAAGCATGCACCCATGACATCAGAAGCCACACATTAACCTAATTTTTAGATGCATTTAATCTCTTATTTAGTATTCAGTAGGAAGAGAATGTGTACATACATTAAGTTTTCCATGGTCAACAATGAGTGGTGGTGTCTGCTCTGAAAGAATCTCCATAGCTTTCTCAACACTAATGAGATGTTGCTGTTCCACTTGAGAACGCCTTGCACGAGTCATGCGAAGCATACATACATCTAGAATAACAAAGATGAAGCTAGAATAAGAACAACTAAATAATCTAAGGAAAATGAAAAACATGCAGCGGAAGCTGTTGGACAAGGGAAGCAATTACTTCCGGGTTTTTGGCGTTCAAAAACTGAAATGTTCGGCTTCCGAGACACTCAAAACCGAGCCCAAGTTCTTTCTCGCTAAAGAATATCATTTCCACGGAGTAGCAGAAACAGATTCAAACCAGAAGCTTTTTAAAATACAACTGTTTCATTTTGTAATTTGATCTATCTATATAATATGTTGGCCTTGCTCTAAGTTGTCTATTAGGTCACAATAGCTAAGATTTTGCCAGCTATTTATGAAACCCATTAGTTCTATAACAGGGTCTAAGTCTAGGGAGTCTGTATCTGCAAAATCGCAAGAAAGGTAACTTAAAAAACACAAGAATTCAAACATAAGGTTTTGAACAAAAGTCAAATTTGATACATTTGAAATGTCTGCTCCAATTAGCCTGGCATGATCAAAATTTCACTGAAAATTTCACCTTGCTTAACTGTTTTGCAAATATTTCCAGAGTTGTTGGTGTGGTCATCTCACAGAATTGCATGTATGTGGGGATGGGAGAATAATTAAATAACTAAAGGATATTATGTATTCAGATAATGCCAACAGATGACTCTCCGCTTACCATTGATATCCTTATTTAAAGAATTCTCTGTTAGATCTCCATTACATCCTCTGTTTTGCTCTGAACAGTTAGTAACCTTGTTGTTCTCCTCAGATCTACACTTAGCACCATTACTGGCAGACTGGTCACTCCCATTCTCTGTATCAGATTTGTTTTCAGAGCTATTTGTGTGCTGGTCTGGAAGCACAGCTTCAGATTCTTCCACTTCAGTTTGTTCCATGCTGGAGTCATGATTTCCAATGCATTCTTCTCCTTCACTCTCTACTTCATCTTGCTCTTCTCCCGGAGCTTTGTTCTCTTTATTGAAATGAGAAGTCTTCTTCCGCTTTGCTAGGTTACCCTGGCACCACCGGCTCTTTCTTCTGAGTTTTCTCTTTGATAAGGCTACAGCAAAAGTATAAATCAAAATTTAAAAACATATTCAAGATATTAAAAGTAGTTTCATGTTTCCTAAATAAACACAACAATGCTGTTTATGAGGACCAAAGTCTTCCTGTTGAGAAGTGGGAGAAAGGGACAGGAGGTGGGCAAGTATGGGGTATACCCTGTGTCCTGAATGGGGTAACTGTGCCCCTAAAGGACCAGTTGCGCAGCCTGGGAGTCATTTGGGGCTCACAGCTGTCCATGGAGGCACAGATTAATTCTGTGCCCAGGGTGGCTGTCTACCAGCTCTATCTGGTACGCTGGCTGAGACCTGCCTGCGCAGTGTCTCGCCATAGTGGTACATGCTCTGGTTATCTTCTGCTTGGACTACTGCAATGCGTTCTACATGGGGCTACCATTGAAGGTGACTTGGAAACTAAAATAATCTAGAATGCAGCAGCTAGACTCATGAATGGCAGCAGATGCCGAGACTACGTAACACCAGTCCTAAAGGATCTGGCTTCCAGAATGTTTCTGAGCACAATTGAAAGTGTTGGTGTTGACCTCCAAAGCCACAAACAGCCTCGGCCTTGTATACCTGAAGAAGCATCTCCATGGACCAGCCTGGACACTGAGGTCCAGCTTCAAGAGCCTTCTGGCAGTTTCCTCATTGTGAGACATGAAGATACAGGGAACCAGGCAGAGGGCCTTCTCAGCAGTGACATCCGCCCTGTGGAATGCCCTCCCATCAGATGTCAGATAGATAAACAACTATTTGACTTTTAGAAGGCATCTGAAAGCAGCCTTGTTCAGGGAAGTTTTTAATGGTTGATGTTTTATTGTGCATTTAATACTTTGTTGGGAGGTGCTCAGAGTGGCTGGAGCAACCCAGTCAGATGGGTGGAATAATAATAATAGGAGATGGCACTTGATACAGTGGCATAAAATAAAGATATTCTGAGATCAGCATTGCTTTACACAATTAAAATTCCAGATTATGTGTGTTGTCCTTGCATTGGGCTACTATCCAGTTAAATTCTACTCAGAATAAATCCACCGAAATTTATGGATCTAAGTCATGTCTATTAATCCCAATGGGTCTACTCTGATTCACATTGGATACACCCCATTATCTCTCGTTTAAAGACAAGACTGACAACTTGAAATCAGTTCACAAATTGTTCATTAAGTAAGAAATAATGTAAGTAACACTTACCATTAGAAGGACAAGGAGAGCTAGAATCCAGAGGCACTGGTTGGATTTTCAGTTTCTCACCAAATTCAGAATCCAGTTTCTTGTATTCCAAGGAGGTATTCTGCTTTGGCATTACATAATAGTAAGAAGGAGCATATTTTGAGGAGCTGCAACCTTTAAAAAGAAATGAATTTTTGTAGGCATCTTTTATTAAACGTTACTGAACTATAATGATATTTTATGTTCGAAGATGAGGGGGTGTCATGGGACTTCCAGAGAATGCCGGGGAGGAGCAGGAACAGTCAGAGGGAGGTGGACAGGAAGTGACGGATGGGGAAGGGGGGGGGGAGAGAGCCAGGAGGCGCAAAGGCTCTCCAATGGTGAAGCAGAGCCCCAGCACCGCACAGGAAGTTCCGGCACCGATGGTGAGGCGGTGCCTGTTCTGTCTGCCAAGGAGAGGAGAGAGTTAAAGAGGAGGGGGGAGAGGCGTCACATGAAACTTCCCCGCTTTTCTGTTGGAGGAAAAGTCTGCAAAGGCCACTCCCAGAATCTGAACCGGAGGATTCAGACACATGATTGTAATGTGCTGCCTGTACGTATGTAAAATAAAGAACTGTAAATATCTCTGAGTCAGCAGAGGTGCTTCTTGCGAAGAGCATACACAAGCCATCACAGGGTGGGGAGGGAGAATGTGGAATCCAAAGGGCTGCATTTAGACTTTTTAGATCTCCCCCAGCCCTTTGTGTACACATTGCACACACAGCACTGGCTCCTAAAGAATATGGGATCCTGGAAAGGGGAATTTGAAACAGTCTAAAGGGCTACAGCAGGAAATGGAAATTTGGCATATTCTTCTTAGATAAACTATAATGTAGTTGCTTTTTGAGTAAATATTGTAACACACCTCTTTTTTTGCGAGATTCTTGAATTTCTTCACAAAGTTGTTCAAAGTCTTCATCCATTTCGTCCTTAATTATTGCATATGCTGTATCTCTGAGAGAACAGGCTCTGTGTCTGATAAGGCGATCTAACAATGCACACACAAGAAAAATACTTTGTAGCAGATTCACCAGTAATTTCCATTATTCTGTAACGTTTATACTCCTTGCTGAACTACTGTGATTTATCGAAATAAAAGTATGTTACAACGAAAGAGTTCTGTAAAAAGAAAACACAGCTTCTAAAACATTAACTGTCATTTAACATTTCTGATTTGGATATCACAGTAAGTTTATAACTTTTTTTTTCCTGTAACAAATACAGTAGTATTTTTGTACTCACCTCCAGGGTCTCTGTCTGGATTATATTCTAATGCATTGCTACAGATCAAATCAATATCTTTTAGATAGTCTTTGGCAGAGAGATATTGGTGAAGGTCAATTTTTGAAATAACTGTTGAAAGATCCATTGGTTGTTTGATAACAGTAACATAGTCTGGTACCTACAAATGTAACATAAAAAACTTAGAAATGTCTCACTTAAGCTAGAAAACAGATATCTTGTTTTTAAGAATGTTTGACATCTCATTATGTTGGTCTTAATGTTACTAAATTTGCTTTAAAACTGTAACTGAAGTATCAGGATACTGGCAGGAAGCAGCAGCAAATAATTTGTCAATCAACTGGACTGCCTGTGACAGGTTAAAATTCTCTCAAGATCAGATGAGGTTTAGTTCCTGTTATTGCCAGCTATAGGAACTTGGGTGCCTCCTACATGCCACTCAAGGAAAATGCTTTCCCTGTGCTCCTTTCCCTTTTGAGAATTGAAAATACTCTTTATATTTTAAAGAGATACAGACAAACACAAACAAACAAACAAACAAACACACACACACACACACACACAACCAGTATTATAAGCTGTGCATACAAACAACTCCTTTTCTCTCACACATACACTTTTAAAGTCAAGAGACACTTTAAACGCAATAGGAGTGAACCATGGGCTAAATGTTATTTTTACACTGGAAGTGTTAAACCAAGTCCTCAGGGGCCAGCGAAGGAAGGTAAATGGAGGAGCTAGATGGGACAATGAAGGGGTGGTAACAAAGGAGATTCACAATGCAGGTAAATAAGAGCTTGGACAGCATTTGTAAGTCATTTATGGCACCTTCCTGTCACTGAACATAAGAGATTTCTAAATTTGAAGTTTTTGAAACAGGCTTTGCCTTCCATTGCAATTTTATTTAATTCCTAGAAAAGGCAGTATCAGCTTTGGATAGCATTCAGGATGCCATTTTGTGTCAGTTTTTGATTGCACTTGTACAGCCTGTTAGATCCACATTAGACAAAATGATAACTACCTTACTACATCACAGAACATGTTAATTATTGCAGCATAAAACATGTATGTTCCAAATAAAGTGGCAGGAACATACACAGATAATTACTTTGGGCCACGTCATTGTTTATTTATTTGATGAGCAGAGATAAAATCCTAAGCATTACCTCATGTAAGTCAACTGGTTTTGTAAAGGCTCTGAAACGTTTGTCAACAGCAAGCCTGTGAGTAACGTTTCTTAAGAAAATTCTGAGTTCACGTAAAGTATCTTCTTCTTGCCCCTCAAGTTGTTTGACCTCCTCTTCTGTTAGTTGTCGTGGTTCAGGTGCTGCTGCTACTGGTAGCACTTCTAGAGCCTGCAAAACTGTGAGGGACGGACGATGGGGACGGGGCGGGGCGAAAGAAACCATTTTGATGAGTTAAAGCGCAGATATTTTGACTGCAGTTATTTTCAACATCCCATCACCTTTACAGGGCTTTCTAGTTTTATCTGTTGCACATACTAACCTGCTTTCTTTTTAGATGCAGGTTGTTTAGCAGCTTGGTGAAGAATTAAATTCTCAAAAAACTTTCTTCTCTCGTCAGCACTAGGCAAGCAGACATCAAAAACTTCTCCATACGCTTTGTCAAACAATTCTTGTACCTTAAATAAATGAATAATATTGAAATGTACAAGTTCTTGTGAGAAGGAAATAAGAGTGTCGAAAGTGACAGAAAAGATCTGAGTTCCAGGGCTATTAAACTACCAATACTTAATTACTGAGGATCTGAACAAAAAAACTTTAGCTCAAAACTTGGCAGATATAAATAAATCAAATTTCAATTTATTTTACCTGGAAATTTACTAGAGTTGTGTTGGAATGCTTCTGTTCTGTAAGCAGTAATGGAGCACTGCAATTTTCTTGATAGACTAAGTTTTCCATAATTGCTTTCATTTTTAGAAATATTTGGCAAACATTAAATACTCATTCATCTTTATTATTTATAAAAGAAATCAAATGCTTAAGTTAGAAAAAGAAAACTCTGGATCAAAGAGATACCCTATGAATTCAATGACATAAAGTACCTCATCTGGCAAAGATGCATGATGTACATCTGATGTTGCAAGGAGCAAAATTGGAGCAAAAGATGGAATGTTCTGTAGCAGCGCAGTAAATGTAGCTTGCAGTGTTTGCCCAATTGTCTCCCACCACAAATGAATATTTGGAATGTATATTATACTTGGAGCTGTTCTCTTGGCTTCACATATTAACTAGTAAAATACAAGAAAAATGATCAGCTGACAGGTCATTAGCACATTTGTCCTTTAATCATGACTTTTTTGCCTGAAAGACACCAAAATCAAAATCATTAACCACTCCCATTTCCCAAATTTGTTAATTTTGGGACCAGCCCCCACCAGATTTTCTCAGATTCCCAAAATCAAAAAGGTACTTTTAGTTTGTGTAGTTACTGCCTGCCTATCTGCACTAAGTCCCAAAAATGGCTGATAGGACAAAAAAACAACAACAAAGTACAAGCTAAAACAAAAATCTATAAAAACAGGAAGGAACAATCAGCATAATGCCAAATGTTAACAAATTTGCTTTAGCAATACACATTTTCTCAGGGGTATTTTCTGAAAGTGAGGAATAGTCACTTGTCCATACCCCTTTTCTTGCCTCTCTCATTAATCTTTATTTTAATTCATCACTATTTTCTGGGAGGCACATGAAATCAAATATACTAGTCATCTGTTAACCAGATTAATTATAAACAATTCAGATGCAAACAGTACAACACTAAAAGATATGAGGCATTGTCTGAAGGAATATGTAGCAACCCTGAAATACTGTAAGTTTTTCTGGGTCTGCTGGGATGGAAATACTGCCTTGAATTCCATCATGTTAGCAGCAAGATATGAATGAGCTAAAAAAAACCCAATGAAGCATGACTGAAGAAAAGCAGCATTCATATTGTCAACCATAATTATAATTCTCAAACCTTAGCCAAATTTAAAAAAAATAAATCCTCTGGGGCAAAAAAGCCTCCCACCCACACGTGGAAGATGATCTGACATTCCAGTTCTCTAGAATTGTCTTCCACCAGAAAGTGGTAATGTTTTCAGCATTTGCTGAAAAATTCTGTTTTGTTAGCCTCACTTAAGTAGCACTACTACAAAGCTGAAATACCTGCGCACATGTTTCTTCAGGTGTTTTGGCACTGATTCCAAAGAGAATGGAAAGGTCTAGTGTATACACAGCGAACTTTTCCAAAGCATGTATCACTGCCGGAGCCAAGTGAGAGGCTTGTCCAAATCCTGGTTCTCCTGCTATTAAAAGTCTTGGTCGGCAAGAGGTTGGCTGGTGATAAGCATTTCTATAAGAAGTGAGAAATTTTCCTATCATGAGATTTTCTTCCTTTGGGTTTCCTGGAAGGCACCTCACTTCCTCAGGAGGAAATAGCCTATATTGGAACCCACAGCCAGAGCCAACAAATTTTTATTTCCCTAGATTTTGGGGCGTGGGGGGGGGGGGAGCTGCTCCAAATCCCCTGAACCAACAACCCCCAACTACAATACAAAAACACACTAAGCCACAGCTTAATATAAATTAGCACAAGTAAAATAAATCAAGTGATATACAGCATGGAAGGAAATAGGCAGGGATTTAGGGAGCTACCTCCCCCACACGTATGCCACTGGCAGAAGCTACAAAGCTATGGCAAAACAGAATCACCAGAGCTGACGCCAGAAATGGCACATGGAATGACTTGTGTAACAGAAATTCATAGTAAGGAACTTCCCTTTTCTCCAGAACTTTCAGGAGGGCATTCAACATTCCCCTTGGCACCTGCCAAGCCCCCCCCCCATGGCAGGCAGAAGGCAAGACACCCCACCTTAAGGTAGGCACTGAAGGGAGGTCATTACTGAATGACGGCCCACCTTACAAGCCTCAGTACTGCTCATCAGGGAGAATGAGGGAGCAAGCATACGACATCAACCACCTCAATGTGAAAATAATGAAGCTTCCTTTAAAGACCAACCAACCAACAACTGCAACCTTTTATCACTTACCTGCTAAAAATCAGGAACATTTCTTTTCGTTTATCATATATTTTCTGAGAAGGTCCAGTTTCAGAAACTGGTAGTTCCTCTTCATCACTGTACAGCAAGTCACTGTCAAATACCTGACCAGCAAAATCTTAAAAATAAAACAAAACTCTGCATTATTTCCTTTGCAATATTGTGTCTGATTTCTAAGGCCTGGTACTAATTTAAACATTCCTGTTCTTGATAACATTTTATGTGCGCTGAAGCCAAGTGATTCAACTCTGCATAAATGCAGTAACCTAAAATGCTTAAGGAAACTTTAATAATGTCAAGAAGCCAAGTGATACTAAACAAACAGAATAACTCTGTGAATGAAGAGCAAATACAAAGGAACTTCCTGACTGATAGCTCAGTCAGTAGACAATTAGACTCTTAATCTTAGGGTAAAGGGTTCGAGCCCTCCCCAACGAGGAAGCACAACACCAATACAACAACTATTTCAGCACCTTCCCATTTGCCCAGGAATTTTGGATTATATTTTAGTTGGAATTTTGGTTTACTATGCTTTCTAAGTTTATGGGGTTTTATCTATTTTTATTTTGCTGTATATTGTTGCACTGAATTTTTTAGTCTTATTTTGTAGTTGTATATTGTATGATCAAGTTTTTTCATACTATTGAACCTATTATTGATGAAGAAATGTTTTAAATAAAATTTGCTATCATTCATGACAAAATGAAGCTCAATCCAGATAAGACTGAGGCACTGTTAGTGGGTGGTTCCCTAGACTGGATGGATGAGAGACTGCCTGCTCTTGATGAGGTTACACTGCCTCTGAAGGCGCAGGTGGTACTCCTGGATCCTTTACTGTTGTTTGAGGTTCAATGGCCCTGCTGGAACAGAGTGCCTTCCACCAGCTTTGGTTGTTGGCCCAGCTGTGCCCCTATCTGGACAGAGATAATATATTTTCTGTCTTCTGGGGAGTGGCAGAAATTGTTCTGTACCTTCCAAAGCCACCTCTATGTGTTCTGAGGTACACAACTGCTGTTCTGGCTCTTCTGGCCCAGAATCAGAAAATTTCTTGCAGGGTAGTTTTGCGCCTCTAACCTGGGCATATTTCTTCCAGTCTCCACATTTGGGCCAGTTATCATGAATCTTCACTTGTTATCAGTTGGCGCTTATATGGATTTTATTAGGATAGGTTACATAAGCAGGAGTCTTAGACTGCAGTTCCCTTTCTAAGAGATCATTTTCTCGAAAGGTAGCATATTAGAGAAAATGTATTTGGCACAGAAAACAAATTTATGTATGGGTGAATTTGTTTGATAAATAATCAATCTGAAGCTTCAGTTCCTCACACGTTTTAGTAGTTTTCTGTTTTCGGCTTGCAAAATAGAGTAATTCTTAAAGGAGAGGATAATTTCAAGTTTCAGTTCTGTACTGTATACCACATCAGATTAATTAGATACGATATTCACTCATCCCCCCCACCAATGTAAATAAATGCGCACATACCTGACTTCCCTTTCTGTGCCAGTTCTGCATGTGGAAAGACATTCTGTAAGACTTCCAGGATTCTTTGAAGTGTATTTTCAAGGAGTGGTTTGGAAATGTTGGAGAGCGCTTGGCCAGGTGAGGTCACTGCCCTCTGAGAAGCAGGTATGGTCTTTTGCATAGCCACCACAAAATCCTTAGCTGTTATGTTAATAGAAGAGATATCCAACTGCAACTTGACACTGCTGGTGTAAATCTGAGGATAACGTCGGCGCAAGGCACACAAAGCTGCTTCAGCACATATGGACTTAATGTCAGCTCCACAGTACCCTACAAAAGGAAAAGCACATCTGTATGAAATTATAGGGCCTGCAAATAGTCTTATAAGCCACACAAAGATCTAACCATGATTTATACAAAAGATTAAATAATCCTTCCTGTCTCAAAACTAGAGGTTATTTAGGCCAATTCCATGCAATATAAGAAACACAGATCACAAGTTGACTATTTTAAGCTGTATTTTAATTAACTGTTTTTTTGTGTTGTTTTTTTCTATTATGTTTTATTGTAAGTTATATTCGGTGTTAGCTGCCCTGAGCCCAGCCCTGGCCAGGGAGGGCAGGGTATAAATAAAAAAATGTTTTTATTATATTATTATTAGCTATGCCTTATATACGTTTCATATAGTGCTGATGTAAAGAATGAACAGCTGATGCCTACCATGCATTTGTAACATTAGCCTAGTAGATGTGCTACAATATAAAAGCAATCCCCAAATAATGGATGTGTTACTTTGCATGGCAGACATTGTTATATGTAGCAGTTGTATTCTTTGATTAAATAGTACTCAACAGCATTCTGTACACAACTTATTCCATGGCCACCGAGCACGCTCAGTCCTCACTGGACTGTTTCCAGGTTGTTGTTGTTCCGGGGGGGGGGGGGTGTCCTAAAGACTGTACTCTATTGAGACCTATGTTGTGCAGTGGGAGTAAAATGCTGTTATACGTCATCAGAAATAAAGGGAACGATGGCATAAATTGCAAATTTCAAGGTGTGTTTTTTTTTAAAAAATGCTCAAACCAGTGTTTTGGCTAATAAGCATGTAAATAAAAAATATTGTTAGGAGGGTTCTGCAGAGATGGCAGATGTCTATTTTCGAACTGTCAAAAGTTTTATCATCATCTTACCAACACTTTTTTCAGCTAACTCTTCAAGGAACATCTCTGATGGCTTAGGCGACCATTCTCGGGTGTGAATTTTAAGGATCTCTCTCCTTGCCTAGAAACACAAACATGTATTTCAAACACATCTAGTTTCAAAAGACTACCCATATATTTCCCTTTCAAATACTGTATCTTCCTTTCTAGTTACAGTAACCAACACTTTCAATATTACACTATTTACAAATGTTCTGGGGTGGGGAGCTTTAAAATTTGGTTTAAAAAGGAAAACACAGAAAACAAGCAAAACAAAATTAAAAGTAGTAAGGAATTTAGAGATGGCAAGGAAAAAATGAACAACTATGAAGGAGTAAGGAGGATTCAGAAATGCTCAGTTGCAAGACAAAGCAAGGAGGGAACTAGAGGCAGACTGAAGAGCTGGCTGATGCAATCATTTTGCATCTTCTGACCCCAACCTGCCTGTCCTAAGCAGTGGGATGTTATCCCACTATTTACTGCATGCTCCCATATATAATTCCAGAAAAAAAAGGTTAGTGTTCAAGCTTTTCAGGTTTGAGAAAGTTATTAAGGGGAAGTACCTGACAGAGGTTTATAAAACCATGCATGGTGTAAATAGTGGATGGAGCAGAGATAGCGAACCTGGGGCCCTCCAGATGTTGTTGGATTCATTTTTACTATCATAAGATCCATTCATTCATTTTTTTGTTATAGAAAACCAAATTCCCAATTGCTACAGCAGAACCTATATCTGTATGCATTTGGAATTTGTGAAGTGGCATCAGCTGTCAATGCTCACACTTCACATGTTAGTGTTCTCCACTCCTCTCACGTTAGCCTACCAGAACAATTTTCAGTAGAAATCAACTTCCATCCCCTGCCATAGAATCTGGGTAGGTTAAAGCCAAATATGCATGAAAAAAAGTGAGTCTTACATCTTTGTCTGGCAAGGTGAAAAGGAACTCTCTATCGAAACGTCCAGGCCTTCGCAAAGCAGGATCTATAGAATCCAATCTATTGGTAGCTCCAATCACCACAATCTCACCTCTGTTGTCTAAGCCATCCATCAGTGCAAGCAATGTAGACACGATTGAACTTTCAAAAACAAAACAAAAACATTTTATCCACTGTGGCTTGGGCAAGATTCTGCTGGCACAACCAGAAGGAAGAAACCATAGTCCTTAGCCCCACCTGTAATCTCTGTTGCTCTAGAACAGTGTTTCCCAACCTTGTGCCTCCAGCTGTTTTTGAACTACAACTCCCATCATCCCTGACTAGCAAGACCAGTGGCAAGGGATGATGGGAATTGTAGTCCAAAAACAGCTGGAGGCGCAAGGTTGGGAAACACTGCTCTAGAAAACTGACTCTTGGGCCAGGGGACACTCAACTTTTTCATGTCTATGGGGCAGCATACAGATGAGGACTGAGTGTTTGTGAGAAACAAGCAACCCTCATATTTAATCTGAAAGTGGAAGGCATTTCGGCTTGTGCAGCAGTAACTTCGGGTCCAAGCCTGTATCATTTTCTACACACTGAAGAGATCCAATTAAAAGGAAACACAACTTTACTTTGTAATAGAAAGCTGTTCCCAACCTACAAACACTCACTGAAATTTCAAATGAAGTTTTGACTCATCAAAGATAAAATATCTTACGTGAGAGTCAATTAGTTACATGGGACAAATATTTCAAGCACGACAAAATCATGTCAGAGCTGCACGTACTCAAGACCTGGCAACACTGTCAAAATGTTCCACATTAGCAGATCTTATATTCCTGTCATGATGCCACATAGGTAACACATAAACCAGTTCTGAGAACTGGTATGAGAAACAGGACAGTGTTGCTGAACCTCAAATTTGTGCTCTAACACAACTCACAGAGTGTGTATGTGTGTACTAAACCAATGTTGCAGTACACACCCAAAAGTTTGCCTGCATACCTGGAGGCTTACGTATCATTTGCCAGGAAGAACTGTTACTAACTTTAGGCAATTGGTTAAATACAAAGGTGCTTTAAGCACATCACAAATTTAAAGCTTACAAATCTACAATGGAAACAGTGACTTGTCATAAGAGTATTTGTACAAGAAGTAATGTATTTAGGAAAAAGGTTCAGGAGATTTGAAGACAAACATAGAAAACAAACAAAGTTGTACCTGTGAATTTGATCTTGCCTACTGGATCGTACAGGAGCAAGACCATCTATTTCATCGAAGAATATAATTGAAGGACGCATCTGAAAGGCCTAAAAGAAAAGCTCAAATGTAGAAATTCTGAAGGCTCTATACAGAACACACCATAGAATAAGATGAAAGTATAATTACCTGATCAAATAATAAGCGAAGCTGTCGTTCAGATTCTCCAACCCATTTACTGAGGCAGTCAGCACCTTTTCTCATGAAAAATGCTACTCTTCTATCACCTTTACTACACTCATTAGCAAGTGCCCTGGCAACAAGAGTTTTTCCAGTACCCGGCGGACCATAGAAGAGGCAGCCCCTATTAAAAGTATGAAATTGCAGTATTTTGGTTAGTAGACTCTTTCATAATTTTCAAAAGTATATCATACTTTACCTAATCATAATATAATTTAAGCTAACCTCATTAAATATGCTTATGAGTTTCTGTCTGCCTAAGAGAGATTTCATCCCCTCCCCTCTTCTGGGTCCCACCAACAATTCATTTCAGTATTCCTCTCTCCCCATTTAAAAAAGCAACTTGCATTCTGCTGGCATTGTGTTGAAAAAAAATGTATGAACATGCTGCATCTATGCAAAAGTCATTAACTATGCAAAAAGTAATCTTGTGTGGAGAGCAGGCTAAAAAAACCCCTAGCAATCATGAAGAGAAGATGAAAATTTGCAATTGGGGTAAGTTCACTGTCAACCTGCAAACAAAATGTTTGCTTCCTACCTTGGAGGCTGAATTTTGAATCTCTCAAACACTTCTGGATAAAGTAGTGGGAAAACCACCATCTCCTTTAAAGCTGAAATATGGCTAGATAGTCCACCCACACTATCAAACTGGATCTAAGAAGGAGAAGCAGAATTAACAAATGAAGGTCAACAAAACACAGAAGTGAATAATTAAACCTTATTACTTAAGTCTTTAAAAAAATTAATGGGTACTTAAATGAACAAAACAGCTACACAGCTCTCATTCAGGTTAATCAGCAAAACTTGAAAAGCTGTGCTTATTTTAAGAGAGTGGTCAATAACAAAATGTACTTAAGAAACTAGGAAATTAAACACTCACTGAAGAATCTATTTGCATTGGATCGACATCAGCTAGGCTTGCTCCAATTTTCATTCGATCCTTGTGGATTCCCTTCAACTCATCTTTCCTAAAGTTTAGTGGAAGGCACCTAATTTGAGAATGAATAGTTGTTTTAATTAATAGAGAAGGAAGAAGTTCATATTGAAACATGGAAATGGGGTTGCCTTTAATTTAGCAAGAGTACCACGAGATGTAATTTCAAATTAGAAATCTACTCCATACTATCTGTAAAATACTGTAAAATCTACATTAGCTAAACATAAAACAGTTGTTATGAATATTGTGGGTGAAATTCAATGCTGTACAATCATTCTGTCTGTGGAAGCATTTCTGCTTGCCAGACGGAACAATCTCTCTTCTCCTTCCCCCACACTTTATTCTGCCCCCCCCAACACTGATTTCAAAGGGTGCAGGGGAAGGGGGGGCAGCTGCACTACATGACTCATTGTCCTGCCTCATGCTAGTGCAATTATTAAGTCAAATCCGGTCCTGTGTCTCCTCGGAACAAATTATTTAACCTGAGGAACCAGAATTCTCTAGGCTTCTCATTAAGAATGTTTTAATCATCTAGTATCCAGATCAGGGATTCCCAAACTGTGATTTTAAGTTAAATTCAGGTGGTTTGTGGTGTGCCTGTAAAAGTAACATTAAAAATCATGCAGCATCTATTACACGGGTTCCCAAATTTACATCTCCGGTATGCCCCACGGAGAGCCTCAAGGTCCATAAATAGCAACACCCTAGTGGTCCCGGGCCCTAAGGAAGTTAGATTTGCTTCAACCAGAACCAGGGCCTTTTCAACACTGGCTCTGGCCTGGTGGAACGCTCTGCCTCATGAGACCAGGGCCCTGCAGGATCTGATTTCTTTCCGCAGGGCCTGTAAGACAGAGTTGTTCCGCCTGGCCTTTGGCTTGGAGCCAATTTGATTCCCTCCCCTCCCCCTTTCTTTTTTCTTTCTCCTCCTGTGATGAGGCTGCATTTTAATATTTTAATGTTTCAATATTTTAATGTTGTATTTTACTCTTGTTTTTAAGTTGTATTCATTCAACTTGTTTTTATTATTGCTTGTTAGCTGCACTGAGCCTGGCCTTGGCTGGGGAGGGCGGGGTATGAAAAAAAAATATTATTATTACAATTCCTATCATCTCTGACCACTTGTCCTGCTAGCTAGGAATGATGGGAGTTGTAGTACAAAAAAACAGCTGAAGGTCAAAGTTTGGGAAACCCTGATCTAGCACAACACATTACAACTGCCACAATAGGCAGAAAAAGTAGTCTGCCAAGCCCCTCAGCAATTTTTAGGTGGTCTATGGGGAAAATGTTTGGGAACCACTGTGCTAGATAAGAATGTATAATATGTACATTGTTATTCTGAGTCCAAAAGTTGGAGGATACCTGCTTAATGCTTTGCTCCGACTTCGTTTCCTACGCCTTTCAAAGCGTTGCTCGTCATCAGAAGAAGATGAAGATGTAGAATCACTATTGTGAATTGCATGCTTTCGTCTGTTTTAATTAAAAGACAAAACCTGTTAAGTAGTCACTGTGAAAAATTGCACAATTAATTTACACGGCCAGTTAAGGCACCCAAATTATTCCATGTATTAGCAAAGTGGGTAAGCTGCATGCAGATGTGTTTGGTGGTAGATCACAGACTCCCCCCCCCCCAAGAAGCTCAACAACTTTGACCTGAACCCCCCAAAAGGGGGTAGATCACTGCCAGTTTTTAACTCTGTGAGTAGATCGCAGTCTCTTGGGAGTTGGCTACCCTTGCTCTACACAATTTGCTATAGATGAAGAAGTCATAACAGCAAGTACAACTGAAGGAAAGTGCAGCTGATTTGAAACCATATAGCCTAGTTGTTGTGTAAGTCAGGAGGAGAGAAAACATTCATGCACTGATAATACTGGAGCACTAATACACAACAAATCAACAAACCTGTTAATCTTCTTACAATAAGGACTCCTTGATCCCGCAGGGCTGAAGGAAAATCTTCGTCTCACTGGAGAAGCAGCATCAGGATAAAACAATTTGGGCTTCCTCTGGTGCCTTGGTTCTATTAACAAACATCAAAGTAAGAACAGTTACATGTTTTCCCTTACATATTAATTGATGAGAATATAAAATGTCAAAATTTTGGAATATCACGCACTTATATGTTTAGTTCTAACATGAACTAACATGTTCTAACATGAACTAAGTTTGTGTTTTCATTTCTGGGACAAGACCTCTCAATCATACAAACTGGAAGATTTTCTGGTAGTCACCTAGTGAAAACATGTATAATTGTGTGGCAAAACGTAAAGACAGCCAAAACAAAGCAAAAACAAAACAAGGGTTGATATACCAAAATAATGAAGCTTTCCAAATATAATATGCAAGGGTAAATAAACTCCAGGGAAAGATGGTATAGTGGACACCTACTTTCTGGTGAGGCCTGATAATGCACAACTGTTTTCCGCTGTCTAAGGTCGTAACGCTTTTGATTATCTTCTCCATCTTCATGGTCTTCACCTTCTTCTGAAGATTCTAAATAACAGAATTCTCTTTAGCTTAAAGAAAGAAACTTACTTGACTTACAACAGATTCTAGGGCTGTAAGTGCAGTTAGACACTGCCAGTCTTGGATTAGGAATAACAGCTTCACTACAGTAAAAGCTATTACAATTTGTTATTTTAAGAGACTGTAATACAGGCATCCCCAACCTTCGGCTCTCCAGATGTTTTGGCCTACAACTCCCACGATCCCTTGCTAACAGGACCAGTGGTCAGGGATGATGGAAATTGTAGTCCAAAACATCTGGAATGCCAAAGGTTGGGGATGCCTGCTGTAATAGCATCTCCTCAGAAATCCCAATAAATTTTGTGAGTTTAGGACTACAAACTAAATGGATTTTTGGAGTAATTAACTACCATCTCCACATGTCATTTTCTAAATGTCTAAGGTGAAGGATGTTTCTATAAACAAAAAGGTTCCCCATTGTGTATACAAGTTACGTTGGTCTAATTTGTATTTTGTTTTACTGAAAAACAAAAACAAAAAAAAAACATTTTTTTGGGGGGGGGAAGGTTCCAAAATGAAGCATAATTTTTTATCCTATTGGAGTATACTAATTCACCCACTCAAAACCTAAAAGTATGCTGAAATTGTACTACATTGTATTAAAATAATAAAACAGAATATAGCTCTAAAAAGTTGAAAGTAGCACAATAACCTGCACTTCCATCTTGGTTATCAGTGGTTTCTTCATCAATCCTTTGGATTGCTCTTTTTGGTTTTCCTCTTGAGTACACATTAAGGTTTTCCTAATAATAACAAGTGAAAACATGTAATTCAAGTCATCCCATGACACGTATCATACATGCAATGAAACTATGAACTTTAAGGCCAGCTCAATAAAAGTAGCAAAGCACTATGGAATAAATGTTTAAGCTTTCTATCTCCATCCCTCTTGCTCAGGGTGTAAGCAAAGCTGAAGTTAAAATTGCAAAATACATATTTAACAAAGAAAGAATAATAGCAAGAAATTATTCTTTTACACAATCTGTATATACATGTACCTCTTCTCCATCATTAAACACTCCAAGATCTTCCAAATCCAGCATTCGTCGCCGACGCATCTTCTTCATATCATCCATTTTTTGTAGTACAGCTTCTGCAGTGCTTGACAAAGTGCAAGATGTAATCAAACAGAACATGAAAAATATTTTAAAACACAAATCAGTTAAACAGAGCAAGCTGCAGTGCTGCACTAACAGGTTATGGGAATATGAAACTAGATATAGATATATATATATATATATATATATATATATATATGCAAGGTTTGAAATGAATGGCAGCAGGATATAAGAATTTTACTACAGTCCCACCTGAAAGTGAAATAGCAGAACTTTCTATTATTCAAGCACAAATCACAAAGATAACACTATCTTACAACAAAACTAAGAAACCATTAAAGCAGTTGCTGGTTGAGTGGGAAATCAGAGCATGAATCCATAGGTGTTAATGAATGTTTGTTTTTATTTAGCATTAAGGTTGAACTAAAAGATTTACTCATATTTTGAGTGCTTCTATACTATTTTTCATCATATTTGGCATCTGGACATTTCACATCAATAAAAATATATGGTAATAATAGAACACGACAACATCAAAATAGTAAAATTCAATAAAAATTCCCACCCAGTTTCGTCCGCCATGTTTATATTGTAAGCTTAATGATAACAATAGTAATATTGAACTTACAATATAAACCTGGTTGGTTGACAGAGAGCAGGATCTTTTAAACTGAATTTTAGCAACAAGTTTTATGACTACAGTAACAATATAAACACTCCAATAAACAACATAAACAGGCTACTATGCAGAGCCACATGTACACTCAACATAACTATTAAGTCCCCTCTTTCCACTACAGAACATTTTAATACCTGAAGTTACTCCTGTAGTTATAGAGCTATCCAGTATAATACAAGAAGCTGCAATCAGAAATTAAAAGTGGGGAAATACCATGTGTTTCACAAAATTGTCATTTCCACCACAGTTGTTCAAGAAAATGCTTTTTCAAGGCATTTTGACACTATAAAAAGTCCTTACTTTGTAATAAGCTTGTCAAACAAAACGGACTGGTTCATAGTACTAAAGCGGCTTCGCCTAATTCTGCAACTGCGGCGGACTTCAACATCCCCATTTTCTTCTGCAACATGTTCACCAGACTTTGAATTTATTCCTGTTTTCAAAGACCTAGTGACACGAACTACAGTTCCTATGTTTTAAAACAAACAAACATTATTTTCATTAGTCTGTTGGCTTACATAAAGAACAGATTTTTACGCATTATTCTTTGGCGTTGAGAATTGTTTCACAAATAAGTTTAGTATTTATGCAGTAGTCCTAGGTACTTCTTATGATGTCAATCATGTATTTCTGTGAGGTTTTTCAAAACTGATGTTTAGATGCAGTATTTCTGGGAGCAAAGTAAAATCAAATCCAGGAGCAAGTGGCTCTCATTACTAAAAGAAAACATTTAAATTTAGTATCAACCCTAAAAAAAAATCTGAAACTCCCCTTGTTCAAAAGTGCTATTCTGACCCATTCACCTTCTGTTACCGCTGCCCTGTCACCTCTGCAAGCCACCAAGGGTAGAGGGGCCCTCTGAAATTGTGCCTGATGGGACACATTCATTTACCCTATCTCTAAAAATACAAAATGAGCAATAGGTATTGATAAGTGGCATAGTTTTAGGTCAGATCATTCTTGCTGCAGCAGAACATAGTGCCTATGAAAGCTATGGAATGTCCTTCCACTGCAAAGGTACACAAATGTCAACCTTCCCCAGGCTAGGAGGTTGAATGGTATCAGTGGTGCACTGGATCATTTTACAACTCTACATTTCTATAAATCACAAGATTTGTAATTTACTAGATTTACCGTATTCACAATCTTCATTCTTTTTATCTGCTTGTTGTCTAGCCAGCTGCCTGCACAGAAACAAATAGATTCAAAGTTAAGACTTCACTAATTTTTATTTGGCTCAGTACTGGAACTGAGTTGAACTCTGGGACCTGCAACTCTTCTTTAGGGTACCAAACATGTTCTTTTCCAGAATACTCCCATTTTCACCCATCCACCGGCCAATATGCTTTTCCCAATGAGCATGCTCAGTTCTCACTAGGCTATTTTTGTTCTCTCCCACCACCCAAAAGGAAGATTTGTACTTATGTAAAGCTTGAGGGAATGCTTTAGCTTCATAAGGACTGGCGCTCTTGAGAATACGAATAGTTTATGAAATCCTGTTTATTTGTTCAATTTTCAGTTATAAAAAGATCAATTCTAAAAGCTCAAATTAACAAAAGGTAGTGCCAAAATCATTTTAAAATGTAATGTTGCTTGGACACTAAGCCTTTCTTTCTTTCTTTTAAAAAAGGTTTTTTTAAAAAATTGCTTATAACCATAGATCTCTACATGATTAGTAGAAAAGCAAACATTAAAAACAAAACACAGAATACTAAAATTAATCAGATAAAATTAACACCCCAGAAATGCTTCAAATAAAAATGTTTTTATGGTATGCCAAAACCCAGTGTCAGAATCTTCTCACCTCCACCAATGGGTCTTGCCTCTGCTAGAAGGGTAGCATAATGCAGGGGCTACTATGCTAAATGCTATCTTCTGAGTAAAAATAAATCTGATATCTACCCTGAAGCCCTATGACCTAGGCAGCCTATAGAGAGTGAGGTGCTCTTTAAGATACCCTGGTCCTAAGCTGTTTAGGGCTTTGCATGCTAGTACCCAAATTATTTGTATTTCCCCAGTCTTACAACATTTCTGTGTTAACTGTGGAGATTGCCCTCCACAGGCTGCAGTATAATTCTGGGGTATTTAGTACATAAATAATACATTTTAAATGTAAAATATTTTAATAGTTTTCAATGATATAATAGCTACACTGCAATTTATTTTCAATGAAGTTCTATTCTGCCACAGTGTAGGAACTATTGGTGGCTGGTTCATATGTTCAGAGAGACTGTGTTCATTCAGTTCTAGAGTGGGTTGTCCTATTCCACAAGAATCAGGTGTTTTGTTTGAGGATGATTATAAATCAATTATTGCCATCCAGTGCTCCAGGGGCATTGTAAAGTACAGTATTTTGGACAGCACCAGTTACAGACTCTCCAGAGTAGATACATCTTGGCCTCAGTTATTAATTCTCCAGTAAATTCCAGATACGATTTACGGCAACATGCTCTTTTATGGGGCTGCCTTGGAAGACATCTAAAAGTTCCAGTTAGTTGAGGACACAGCTGTTAAGACTGCTAAAAGGAACTAGGAGGTAGGATAATAATCACAGTTTGAATTTGCTCCCTATCACATACAACTTCAGTTCAAAGTGCAAGGTACTTATTTGAAAGCTCTACCCAACTAACAAACCAGTATCTACTAAGCCAGGGGTCTGCAACCCGCGGCTCTGGAGCCGCATGTGGCTCTTTTACACCTTTGCCGCGGCTCTGGGGCGGATACTAGCGAGGGGAGGAGGCGCATTGTGCGCCCCGACACTCCCCACTGTGGCGGGCGCTGTACTGGCTGTGACGTCGCATGGGGGCGGTGCATGCGTTAGTCACGCACCGTCCCGACGTCACCTTCCCGCCCGCTGTCAGATCGGACATTAAGGTAAGAAACAATATATGCAGTGTTATGTTTGTTTTAAATGTCGCAATGGTTTTGCGGCTCCCAGTTTTTTTCCCTTCGGAAACGGGTCCAAGTGGCTCTTTTTGTCTTAAAGGTTGCAGACCCCTATACTAAGCAGTCTATTCCTGGATCCATCTGCCTGTGTGTCAAGAACTAGACCTGAGACCTTTCTCCAGATACCCTCACCACTGGAAGCAAGATGAGTGGCAAACAGGCGATAACCTGAAGTTTGCCTGGCTCCTACTTTGCTGTAAGTTTAGTACCAGACAACAACTTCCCCCTCCTTCAGGCTTTTAAACATAATTTTTTATTTCTTCTAAGATTTTTTATCCTGTGCTCTTATGTTTTATTTCTTTCACATTTGCACTTTTCACCATGGATTGTGGTTACTTTTCAGTGCTAGTTGGGAGGAGCAAAATGGGGCACAATTCACGGGTGCATCGTAAGCCAAGGCCCACCATATGTCAATGCAGTGGCTGCCTGTCCGGATATGTATGCCATATACACAATACTTAGTTAACAGGAAACCCTAAAAGAGATAATCTTTTCACATGATGGTAGTAGAAATGCATGATCATTCAAAAAGTCCAAGACGTGAATTTTTAAATCTTAAAGTATATAAGCCTGTGCCATCATCCTCAAGCAATTCAGCCAAGAACTTTAGTTGAAATCCACCTCAGAAAAGCTGTAGTTTCTACACCACAATTTTCTCTAACAATGACCAAAGGACAAATTCACTCAAGCAGACAATTTCCAAGGCATGGCATACAAATAGCAATCAGCATAACTGGGCCCACTTAAGTTCTGGTGATGTGAGGTGCTCTACATGCAGTCAGATTTGTAAGCACTAATTTACTCTGCATGGAGCACAGCACGTGTATAAAAAAACCCTCTGGTAATTAGAGTGTAGGACTTAATAAACTAGGCTACAGGTAATACAGGTAGAACATAAAATGATCTTACAAACTTATCTGCAAGAAGTAGAAAAAGTTATTACCTTGTAAAATGTTTCCTGTTAATACCATTCTCACTCAGCATTGTCACGCTTTTGTCAAAACTAGAGTCTGAATAATGTTGATTATTTTTCCTCATAGATCTTAAGGAACGTAAATGTTCACATTCTTTATCTGAAGAAAACTCCTGAAGAAGTAAAAACCAATTAGGAACATGCACATTGTACTATTTGCTTTTAATTTTTTGTGTTATTGTATATTTTAATTAAGGATGCTTTAATATTATTGTGTATTTTAAATAATTATGGATGTTTGAATAGTTGTAAACCACTTAAAAGCCAATTTGACATGTAAGTGGTGTATAAATTAACAACTGACAAAAAGCTCTCCCTATTTTGTGATTAGTAGTTGCATATCAGCTCCTCCATTACATTTACATTAACTGAAAAGGATGTGACTGGCACTCCAGCAAAGATCACACATGTGTTTTAAATGTACTGCCTAAATTAAACTAACTAGTTTACGATAGAAAAACTGATTTGGAAGGATACTTTTGGATCACCCATGCTGTATGTAAAACCAGAAGGATTACTAAGGCAACTAACAAGAGCATGAAACATCAGTTGAAATTTAAGAGATGAAAGTATTCAACAAATGCTCTTCAACTGTACACAAATAGTAAAAAGCCGTATTTACAAGTAGATTGATATACAGTTAGATACATACATACATACATCCCAAAGTTCCAATGAAAAATTGGGTCTGTTCTCCACTATAGTCATGGCGTGACCTACACAGTTCTATTCTGTTCCCTATGATATATACGTTAAAATACAAGTGTGTGATAGGTTTAAAGTCAATAACTATTTCTCCATTTCAAGACACCCAGAAAATGCAAAACCACAAGGCAGGATGAAGTCAAATAAACAGATTCAATTCAGACAAGGCAGGTTGTTGGTAGATAGGTATTCACTGGTACTCAAGACCCCTCCTGAATGCTAGTATGGGCTGTATTAATTTCTACTCAGAAGAAGGTTACCAGATTTTTTTCAATGAATCCGGGGACACTTTTCAACTTCAGTAGGAATGATAGGATTTTGTCAGGGGACTGATTTGTAAATCTGGGAAACGGGGACATCTGGTAACCTTAACTCACAACAGACCCACTAAAAGTAATAGGCATTACTAACTTACATTCATTGATTTCAGGTAGGTCTGCTCACCGAAATTAAAAGACGCCTGCTCCTTGGGAGAAAGGCGATGGCAAATCTAGACAACATCTTAAAAAGTAGAGACATCACCTTACCAACAAAGGTCCGTATAGTTAAAGCCATGGTTTTCCCAGTAGTGATGTATGGAAGTGAGAGCTGGACCATAAAGAAGGCTGATCGCCGAAGAATTGATGCTTTTGAATTATGGTGCTGGAGGAGACTCTTGAGAGTCCCATGGACTGCAAGAAGATCAAATGCATCCATTCTTAAGGAAATCAGACCTGAGTGTTCACTGGAAGGACAGATCGTGAAGTTGAGGCTCCAATACTTTGGCCACCTCATGAGAAGAGAAGACTCCCTGGAAAAGACCCTGATGTTGGGAAAGATGGAGGGCACAAGGAGAAGGGGACGACAGAGGATGAGATGGTTGGATAGTGTTCTCGAAGCTACAAACATGAGCCTGACCAAACTGCGGGAGGCGGTGGAAGACAGGAGTGCCTGGCGTGCTCTGGTCCATGGGGTCACGAAGAGTCGGACACGACTAAACGACTAAACAACAGGTCTGCTCACAGTGGAACTGACTTGGCTACACTCCCAACCAACAGCCACATTAGCATCACCAAGAAAAAAGCTATTGTCATCTCCCCCCTCCCCCCTCTGTAGTTTGATCAATGCTGGATTTGGGGGGGGGGGTTTGCACGTTTGAAAGACTCTAAAGGAGCAATTGAGTGCCAAGGTGAGTACATGAAATGTAGGATAGCTAGAATCAGAGAAAGGGAGGGACAGGGCCACTGCCCAACTTGCAGAGTGCCTTTCTAAACATCTCTCCATGACATAGGAAACGAATAAGGCAATGATATACCCTCTGGGCAAGTCAAGCCCACAGCCTGCTGTTACAGAAACTGCTTCCAAGACAAGCTGGAAGGGGCGGATTGCTCAATTTGCTGGAAGGCATTGTCATGCAACGGAGCTGAATCGTAAGGGGAGTTTCGGGACACATGGTTCAAAACTCATGGCACTCGCTACCATGCAATATGGGTGACTGAGGGGGGCAAAAGGGGAATTATTAAGCTTGCCCCCCACAAACCCCGTCTAACTAATGGCTTTGCGCTTTGGGTTCCCTGGGCTTATCAACAGCAGGCTGAGTGGGGAAAAGGATGATGGACTTAGATGGGCAACTTCGGTTTCTAATCCAGAGCCGTTCTCCCTACGCTTAAGACTTCGTAGCTTCTGGTGTGTGGAAAAAGCAATAAATAGTATTTACAAAACAACGAATTTCCAGCTTCTGGGTCACCCTACGGGGTCCCACCCCCCCAAAAAAACCCCACATACAAAATGGTTGTTTTGTTTTTTTGGCCGAAACTTTTCATGCAGCGTTTCGCCGCTTGTTATGAAACTTTTGCTGCCCAGCTGCGTTGTTTTGGAGTTGGTTTTATCGCGCGCTCCGGTTTTTCTGGGCAGCTGCTTCCAAAGCCTCTAGTGGCAAGGAGCAGCAGCCAGCAACTTTAAAAAATAGTAATAATAATGAATTCAGTCTCTGCCGCCTGGGGGAGGAGCCTGAATCTCCCTAAGGGGCTTAATAAAAGTAAAAGGTGAGCCTCCCCCCCCCCCGTTTTCTCCTCACCGCGACGGCTCTCCGGGCCTTGTCTCCGCCGGCCACTGCCGAGGAAGCCGACGGGAGCTCCAATGAGAGAAACTCGGAGCTCGTCTCCATCGCGTCGTAAGGCGACGCCGGCGTTGCGCTCCGCCGGCCGCCGCCTGAGTTGCTGCTGCCGGCGGGAGCGCCGCCCGGGCCTGGACGGCTAGGGCCGCCCGAGCCGCTTCGGAGCATCACCATGGCCCTCCTGTCGCGTCGCCCTGACAGCTGGACGAGGCCTTGGCCGCCACAGACGAGGCTCCTCCGCCGCCGACGAATTCTGGCGCCACAAACCGGGAGGAGCCGCTTCACCCAACCGCCATTCGAAACCCTCCGCACCTCAGCGCTTGCTTCTCAACCACACGGCAGGAAAGGAAAAGACAAGACCCCTGCCAAATCTCATAGGCTCCGAACTACTTCCCCTTCCTTCCCTATTTTTACTACAGAGCACTTTTAAGAAAAAGCCTAAGGGTTGGTGAGTTCGCCGCTGGACAAGTAGTCCCAAACCGGCGGAGGGACACAGCGCTGTGTTTTTCCCCCGCAGTTTTGGCGCGCGCGAAGTTGTTTTGAGGGCCCGCTTGTCCTGCTGCTGCTTCTGCGCAGCGATTGGCTGGCGGGGCCCGGCGCGCGCGGCTCTGCCTCACAGGCTCCTCCCACCCCCACCCCCCGCTTCAAATCCCGCGCCTTCCCGAGGCCAGTTTGCAGAGGCGGCGCAGTGTGTGGGTTTGGAGGGGCCAAACTTGAAAAAATATTAACAAAACAAACATTGTGCAATAACTAGGAGGGCGCGCAGCCCTTGTTGCAAATGCAACGCATTGCCCGATTTTTTATTTTTTTTTTATATTGCATGTTATATCTGTACTCGCCACTAAACAGTTTTTGCTGGAAGGGTATCTATCCTGCAGCAACGCAAACACCGGCCCAAAGCATTGCATATCCTAATTAAATGCATTGCGACGTAAAGCCTTAAAGCGGTCACCTCGGTGGGCAGGAACCGCACACTGGAGAGACAGAGCAGAGCAAAGACGGGTGGTATTTTTTCACAGCCAGCAGGCTCCTTTTTAAAAGATCCCGTCCGTGTGGGAGCGATCCGCCGCCAACTGCTACGAAGTAAGCTGCTGGCAAACGAGGGAGTGCAAGAAAACAAAGGCTTTTCTGTAAATAAGAGGCGGTTGCTTTTCTGCAGAGAAAACCCTGCCTAGCAGCACAACTAGCGCCCTTTCCCCCCCTATTCCGCTTACCCGCGAGTAAGCTCCTTGGAGCAAAGCGGGACTTGCTTCCAAGCCAACAACATGCACGCACATAGGAAAAAAGCATGTGCAATCCATGCTCGCCGTCATAAAACATGCAGGCCTATAAGAGGGGCTGAGACAAATTCTTGGAGAACAAGTTGCCCTAACGCTCATTACCAGTGGCTGGAAACCGCAGGAGAGGCTCCTGGGCTCAGGCCTTGTTTTGGGTTTCTGATGGGCATCGGATTGTGATGGGCCATTGGCCTGATCTTGCAGGCTCTTCCAAACGTGGCTCTTCCCAGGAATCTTGCATTTCCTTCATCCCTGTTGCCCTAGACTTTAACACGAAGGACGCCCTGCCCAAAAGCGTATTAAAAGACTTTTCTCACCGGTAAGATCCCAGGTAACTTTCGGAGCAGATCCCAAATGGAGATGCTCGCCTCTCCTGGATGGAAAACCAGCCTCTTCTCTCCAGCCCCGAGTCAGTTCTCAGGTCACGTCCCCAGACAAGACCTGCAAGATTTTCGCTCCCTTAAGGAAGAGGGCGGGGTTTTCCTCCTCTCTTTATCGACTAAGAATTTGACCTCTTATCTATTAAAGCACTTAAGGGTACTGACATGCTCTGCATATTCCTCCCTTCCAGAATGGGCCACATCCGCCCTGATTGGATCTTATGCATTTAACTGGATTAATTTGTGCTGTTCATTCCTGCAGTTTTGGCCCCCGCTTCCTAAAAATACTAGCACACAACACACCTCCCTTTACTCATGATAAAAAGTTTGCTCTCCGTTAATAGTCTTGTGCCTATTTGATAAAGTGGGTCTTTAACCCCTGCCCCATGAAACTGGGCTCCACAATACAAATGTATGTGTTGTTATTTATTAAAATATTGCAGCACAAGTTTTCTCATAAGGCAGCGTACAAAACAGCAGTAGGAAATCATATCCTCAGTTGAATATGTACAACTCCATCCCTCTAAAATTAGCAGTAAAAGCACCAATAAAACTCAGTGATTAATGAGAAGGTGGAAATGCAAGCGTACTGAACGCCCTTTTAGCCAGGCGTACTTAAACGAAGGATCATGCATTGTGAATAAACATTGGGTGCACATCTGAAAATGGCAAAAATGAGAACAGCCCAGTTGAATCTTAAAAGCTGGCAAATTCACGACGGAATCGGGTTTCCTGGATTGGACTACAGTACATTCAGAATCACAGCGTTGTAGAGGAGGAAGGAATCCCTTGGGTCCAACCCCCTGCAATGTAGAGGCAAGGACCACATAAGGCTTTCCTGTTGTTTCTGCAGCCGCTGACCCGCACACAGCCTTGAGTTCCCATGGTGCGTCCTTGCGCTTCTCAACAGATCCACGGAGGACCTTAAGGTCCACAAATGACAACATTTTGGAGGCCCCAAGTCACAAGGTGGTTAGGTTGGTCTCAACTAGGGCCAGGGCCTTTTCAGTACTGGCCCCGACTTGGTAGAACGCTCTGTCACAAGAGACTAGGGCCCTGCGGGACTTGACCATCTTTTTGCAGGGCCTGCAAGACAGAGCTGTTCCGCCTGGCCTTTGGTTTGGACTCAGTCTGACCCTTATGTTTCCCTCCCCTTACGGTTTTGACTTTTAAAATGAGGCTGCATTTTAAATTGCATTTTAATCTGTATTTTAAATTGTGTCCCCCCCCCCCCTTGTTATGTTTTTACTGAAATTTTATTGGTGCTAGCCACCCTGAGCCCAGCTCTGGCAGGGGAGGGCAGGGTATGTACCGTATGTATGTATGTATGTATGTATGTATAAATAAATAAATACATTTTTTTAAAAAAAAACATTGCATCGGAAGCGAGACCCGCTGTGTGCAATTGTGCAGGATTGCAGCCTTGCGTAGGGCCGGTGTTATCACTAGACTGGCTGGGCAGCAGCCTGGGGCGCAGTACTGTATCTTTGAGAGGCAGTTTCATACAGATTACGGTAGTTTGGTGACGAATTTCTTTGGGGCGGGCCCCCAAGCAACAGCATGTATGCAAAGCAAGGCTCGGGGTTAGCAAGGCCAAGGTGGTTTTGCTGAAACCTCCCACCAGCTTTTGCTTGAGGCTTCCCCCTTCCGTGCACAGCTTCGCTTCCCTGGGATTTCCAATCTTTGCAACGCTGCCGCGTTTCCCGGGGAAGGACTTGCTTGCAACACAAGCCGCGCGGTGCTTCCCGGGTCTGTCTAAGCAGCTGCAGCGGCGGCGAAATGCTCCAAGCCTTTCTCCGGGAAATGAGCCCCGCACAACCTTCCCCCTTGCTAGCTGAGTGAGGGTCCGAATGGATCAGGCAGAGCCGGGTCTTGCAGATGCGGCAGCTGCAGCGCCGGCTGGCTATGAGCCCGCGGTGCCTGCTCGGCCCGGTTGCGTCTACACTGGCTGCTACTGGTAAGAAATCGTGCAACACGGGGGGAGAGGAGGCGATTGCTGCAATGCTCCTAATAGAATAGGACATAAGGACCACTTAATTCTAGCATCGCAGCTCTGGAGAGGATCGCAGCAGCTGCTGCAACCTTTTCCAGAATATCGGGAGCTCTCCAAAATATTAGAAGCCCCTCCTAAGTTGATTTCAGGTAAGCTTACCCCCAAGAGAAGTGGGTATAGCATTGCAGCCTAAAACAACCACCAGGATCCTATTCTGCATGCAATAGCAAATAAGCCACTTAAGCTGTCACATATATTCCATAGAAGCCAGCTTCTTCCGCAGAAATCTTCCCCTTAACGCCAGTGCAGGAAGTTGAGACAGCTAGTGGCCGGAGGTTGTGGAAATTGTAGTTGATTGATGCTGGCATCTGTCTGTCTTGAAAGACAAAGGAGCGTGCCTCTGGGGGTGAAGTCAAACTGCTGCATTAATAGCACCGAAATGACCTCCCCAGATGACAAGACCTGCCTTGCTGACATAGGTTCACTCTCCTTGACGTTACCTGATCACTGCACACACACACACCACACTTCATAGGGAATTTATGAACTTCCATCAGCATAAATGTAAAGGTAGAGGGACCCCTGACCATTAGGTCCAGTCGTGGCTGACTCTGGGGTTGCGGCGCTCATGTCGCTTTATTGGCCGAAGGAGCCGGCGTACAGCTTCCGGGTCATGTGGCCAGCATGACTAAGCCACTTCTGGCGAACCAGAGCAGCGCACAGAAACGCCTTTTACCTTCCCGCCGGAGTGGTACCTATTTATCTACTTGCACTTTGACGTGCTTTCAAACTGCTAGGTTGGCAGGAGCAGGGACTAAGCAATGGGAGCTCACCCCGTCGGAGGGATTTGAACCGTCGACCTTCTGATCGGCAAGCCCTAGCCTCTGTGGTTTAGACCACAGCGCCACCCGCTTCCCTATGTGGAAACTAGCCTACTGTATAAAATAAAACCTTATATTCATTGCTTAGACCAATTTTGTCTCTGCACCCAAACACCCACTAGCAAGTGGACCTCAGAATCTTGTCCGGAAGCGAGTGTGGGTCTCTCAGGCTGGGAAAGGTTCCCTATTTAAAAAACAACATAAAGTCCTAATAATCAATATCACTGAATGCATGCAATGTTGAAATTTTATTACTGGGGAGAACGTGGAATGGAAATGTAGTAGGTTGTGTTTATCTGTTTTCTCTGTTACAGTGAGGAAAATGTGTGGAAGCTTTGTGAATACATCCGTAACCAGAATCTATACCCTTTAGAAGAATTTTATGCGGTTTTCATTTCCAATGACAGGAGGATGGTGAGTTGCGGCATTTGGAACCGATTCTGAAACGCGAAATGACATTTGCCACAGCAGCATCAGAAGCTGGGTTCTATGGAATATATGTGATAGCTTAAGTGGCTTATTTGCTATTGCATGCAGAATAGGATCTTGGTGGTTTTTTAGGTTGCAATCCTATACCCACTTCTCTTGGGGGTAAGCCTAACTGAAACCAAGGGGACTTTCTTCTGAGTAAACAGGCCAAATGGAAATAGGGTTTGAAAGACAACGAAGATCAGGCCCATGACCATTACTCCTGCCTCCTGTTTTCTTAGTGGCCAACCAGATAGAATCATAGAATTGTAGACTTGGATGGGACTCCAAGCTCTATGCGGCCTAGGACCCACGTACCTACGGGACCGCCTCTCCTGGTATGCCCCGCGGAGGACCTTAAGGTCCACAAATGACAACATTTTGGAGGTCCCAAGTCACAAGGTGGTTAGGTTGGTGTCAACTAGGGCCAGGGCCTTTTCAGTACTGACCCCAACTTGATGGAACGTTCTGTCACAAGAGACTAGGGCCCTGTGGGACTTGACAGGGCCTGCAAGA